GTGGCATTCGAAGTAGCGTCAAAAGTAGCAAAAAAGAAGAAGAAAAAAAATTCAGCCAATTTAAGATCGGGTCAGAACCAGAGGTCATGTCACCAGAGGTCATCGGTGGTAAAATTTTGCTTGGACAGGGTGCGTTGCGTGCACCGGTGCATTGGGTTTCCAATTTCCATGGAAACATCAACAGAATCGGAAGCTCGCAACGCTAGCGTGGAGCCGAATAGCTGCAACAATGCAGCAGCGCAGCGCAGCGTGCTGCAGCGTGGGGCCGTGAAACACCGCCCAGGCCCCCTGTCTCCCCCTAATTCCTGTCATCCTTCCCACTCTGAAATCGACCGAGCCTAGCCTAACACAACAATCAGCTCGTTTACCGCTATGTCTTAATAATATTGTCGGATTTAATTAAGGTGAACGGCTTAGCACGTAAATAACAGCAACTGCCACCATCGGTATTATGAGAAAACCAATTGCTTTTCCACAAACACTTACAAGTTTTTAGCTTAAAACTTACTCGAAATTAATTTTACCAGCCTCGTGTTCCTCTTATCAAAACGCTTCGAATGAATCAAAAGTTAATCTTTAAAGGCCATTGAAAAATTTGGCATATGTTCAAAGACATGACCTGACCAGAAATGGCCAGGATGCATATTAGATCCGTATCGTGGAACATTACAAACACTTCAGATGATTTCATAACTTAAGCATGTCTATCAAAAATAATTAATACATGGCTCATATGTAGGCTGGGTGTGTGATCATGCTTACGAGTATGTTGAACGCAACTGATAATTTTCTATTGGCCACAATTTCTATATTTAATTTATCCTCCAGGATTTCATATTTTTATTAATGACACCTTGACGATGTCGAGAAAAAACGCTTAGGAGATTTAACAGCCTGAGATACATTCAGTATAAGGAAGGGTCAAGGGTGCTAGATTCCTTCCGTCCTCGCTATCCTCAGGAAAAAAAAAACAATCCGCATCGCCCCTAGTCTTCATGCTTCCCTCTCTGGACTGGAGGTCATCCCACCAGCCAACCTGTAGTTGATGTCGGATCAATTCCAGGCAGAAATGTGCATGGATCCGAGTGATGGATCTATGATCTCAGTGGATCTCGAGGCAAATTGCAGGTTCGGATCTATGATCCCACAGAATCCGGCGTGAAAAAGTATCCTGGATCTATGATCTCACAGGATCTGACGATAAACCAAGAACATGGATCTTTGATCTGAGTGGATCCCACCATGCATTTCATTTTGAACCAGGTTTCCAAGTGTTTCTATGTCAATAAGTGCCAAAAAACTATGGATTATGAGGTGTATCACATTAAATCACTAAATAATAACGTTTGTGAGTTGCAACAAGTGATCTTTGGGATTTCTGTGTTGACCAAAAATAAATGATCTGTGATCCCACTGGATCTCAAGCAAAAATACTAGACTCAGATCTATGATCCCTACGGATCTCTCGATAAATTAAAGAGCTGGATCTATGATCCCCACGGATCCGAGATCAGGATCCGTGGGATCAGATCCCAGATCCATTTTCTCGGATCCATGCACATGTCTGATTCCAGGACAAATAATCCTCTTCGTGGTGACGGTTTGGGAGACGGCTGGACCGTCCCGACAGGGCAATCGTCCCACGGGAACAGTCTCGCTTCCGCAGATCACTGTCGCTGGCTCGCACAACCCAATTACTACACCAGAGCATAGTTATGTCATAGCTTTGCGAGGGCCTTTTCAGACCGAAAAGATGGCTCCCAACAAAACAAACAGTTTTCTCATTTAGTATTGTATCTCATCAAACACCACATGTTTTCAGAGTGTTTATTATGCGTTCCGTCCAAAAAAGCGCAGTTCAATTTTCTCCCATTGACTTGAACGATCTCAAAATTGACCCGGCCTTTCTGTCAACAATGTCAAACTTGCAAAGTAAACGTTTCAAATACATAGGTATAGTGTTGCCCAATGAAATCGCTGAAAGTTCTAAGGCGATCGGTTAGTCGGTGTATTTAGATTGATGAGCACAGGAACTTTCCTTGAGGTAAGGTCACTTGACGTGACCAGGTGTTATGACCTTGAATTGAAAGACTTGGGCACACTATCCCGGCCAAACACTATCCCGGCCAAATAGTGAGTGAGAAGGGAGCGATCCCCCAACCCCATGTTTAGCTCCTATAATTGAGCTAGCTGCTAGAGCCTCGCGGAAAAAACGAGCGTTTGCTTCGTTACGTGACGCAGCGACTGGTACCCCATTTTAAAATATCAGTGACCTCTTAGGGCAGGTCAAGGGCCCCAAGGCATTCGATCGTTTTTTTTTGGTAAATAACCACAAAAATTGTCGCATTGTCGTCCTTTCGATACAATCGTGTTTTCTGTTCTCAGACGCGTCTGCATGCTTTTTTGTTTAGGTGAAACAATTTAGGATGTTTACCTGAGGTCAATGTCATGTTAGGGCAACACAGGTCACGAAGCTGTTGAAAGGAGGACATGTTGCATAACATTTGATTCGGCAAGTCTTGCAAAGTCCATTGATGGCTGTCCCGACTGGCTAGCTCATTTTGATCGGGAGTTATTGACGAAGCACTCCTATCACCCTAGTGACGTCATAAATGACGTCACGCAAGGTGAACAATGCAAAAGTGAAGCATTAGACCTTGCCAAGAATGTATGAAGTCACGATTTGAAGTGCTTGAGAGTTGAGGTATAATTTTAGATCATTTCCGACGCCAAGATTAACAGTTTCCATATTTCCCCATTATGCTTATATGGCACTAAGTGCATTGCGGATTTGCATCATTTTATAACCGACAACTGTGCAGAGGTTTACTTAAGACACCATGTTTAAGTGACCTGACCTGAAAACGTGGTTGATGTCAAATGATCCGGCTTGAATCAAATGCAAGGCATATGAATTATGTCAGCCTTCTATCATCAGTGTGCTTTGAGCTACCGCAAAAAAATACATGGTGGCGGCATTCACCCCTTCTTCTCGGCCGGCGAGGGTTAAACCTCGCTTCGAATTATTGCAGATAATGATGCGACCGAAAACAAAGCATTTATCTGTGTCTAGAACGGCCGCTGACTTGTTGGACAAGATCCCCAGTCTTGATTTGCTAGATGGGAATAAAATACTCGGTATGTGATACATATATAGTGTATACCCCTCGATTTGCCATCGCGCTAAGTCTCGTAATCATCACTGTCGCTTTTTTATCCGATATGATGTCGCCGCTAAACGGGTTGTTTTGTTTGCTTGCTTGCGTTGAATGGTCATTACGGATTATTGAATGATTGTGATAAAATAGGAATGGGGCGAGGGAGGATATGCACGGCGTCTGCAGGTGTTTAATTTAGATCACAAAGGCATCATTTCCGGCATAGTGCAGAGTCACTATCTTCCCCCTCCTCTGCACTGCGGCATCTCTGCGCCCCACACACGGCGTCCTCACTCCACGGCCGGCCGCCGCCAACTGACCCACTCGCCGGGCGCCGCGACCTGACCCGTGTCGCTGCCGCGGCCTGCGCAATAGAGTCGGGGCTGGCATCCGGGGGCTCGGCCGGCCGGCCGCCTCTGGAGCGGGGGACTTTTTTAGTAGACCTACTGTACATACGCCACGCAGCGCGCATAATTAAGCCTTTACGGACCATGAATACAAACAGGTACTAGATCGTGTGCCTCCCGACGGGTCACCGCTTTCTTCTTATATATCTCCGACGCTAGAGGCGGCGATGAAAGCGAGATCACTGACCACAATCGGTCATAATTATATCGAAAGGCGCTAAATTAAGACGACCGGTGGTACGCAGTTAGGATAAGGTTCAGCTATGGTTCATCTCCCGCCACCGATATGTTACCGGCCGTGACATAACCGTTCCCTCGAACCCACTCGGTCATAGTAAAGTGTAAACACAGTAGCGAATTTATGAAGCGGTCTGTAGAGCTGTGTGACCTCACTCCCCGTACTGGAGCCGAGCTGTCCTGCCGCCCCCCGCGGAGCTGCGCGCTCCGCGGATACAAATGACGTATGCTCCACTGCGTAGTGCGCACATTGCACCCCCCCCCCCCCCGGCTGATCCCCTCCCTTTGCGCAGCAGTTGCACGGGCAGTGAATGACACGGCACTCAGCAGTCGGCAATGAGATATTTAGATTCGCAACTGGTTTACAGAACCCATCAGCGGCCATGCAGCCTTCAGCTGTGCCGGAGAGTTGAGCAGATCTCTATAGGTGGATTTGCGGTATCCGGGGCCAGACACCTCGCTAAGTTTGAACGGAAACTAAACGCGCACATAAGTCATATAGAGATGCAAACATAACTCCAAACATCTCCCGGCACCTTGCCGGCACCGGCCCGGCACTGCTAATGAAATGAAAGTGCTCAACCTTTCGTGACAAGAATATGATATCTCACTGCTGAGCCAGCATCAACGGAAGCAACGTAGGCAGCTTTTGCAATGCATTGTTCATATCCATTGTCCAGTGACCACAGTCCATACTCGATATATCTTATGTTGCAGCGCTCTAGTGACCGAGCCTGGTTAAAAGCCAGCCAATGCTCGAGCTCAGTTACACCAACAGCGCGATTGAGCATATAAATTCGAGCTACATGCTTTGTCAGTGAGCACGAATTTTGAATCGCCTGTTTGCCACAAAACATTACTGAATAAGTTTTGACTATTGACTAGTGAAAGCCGCTTAGCTTGACTGCTCGACCTTTTTCGACCACACATAGGGTGACCGAACCGTTCCTTTTCAGCACGTTCCTTCGTCATCCCCTGACCTGCTCAGTCCATTGTCCCATGCAGTCGCCTATGGCAGCCAGATGATGTCATTGTCATATCATACACACGGGCATGAGCAGGGCGGGAGACCATCGTCTCACCACTCGCCACTCGGTCCCCCTCCCCCTGGCCGGCCGACCTGGGAGCGCCCCTGCGCCCGCGACGGCCGCCGTGGGGGCTGGGGGGTGCGAGCGAGCGAGTCCGCGCGCTCGGCCCGCCACGAGCAGGCGCGCAGTGGCGTGCCAGCACCCGGGACGTTGGGATGAGGTCGCGTGGCGTCGTGTTGGCGCATATTGGCTCGTGCGTTGGGTTGTGAATAAGAAGGTGCTAAACTGTGAAGCTACCACGTGGATGGGCGCGAGAGAGACCTGTTTGATATCCGTGGATCGTCTGGTGACGCCCAGAGGATTGCTGAAGGTGAGTGTCAGGGGTCTGAATCGCAGTGCTTCTGAATCGTAGTGCTTCTGAATCGCAGTGCTTCTGAATCGCCACGAACAACAGAATGAGAAGGAAGCATTCTGCATTTGACGTCTGAAAGATGTGCGTATTATCCCTGCCACCTTCAAATTCACATAGAGAAGGTCGAGGCGGAGAGACTAATGTAAGGTTACGCCCGCGGCCCGCTTGCGCTGCACTGGGGCTCAGACATATAGCTCATAGCTCAGTGCCAGTGTGTCACTTGTGTCGAAACTGGTTCAGTTGAGTAGAATCCCGCACCCTTGGAGTATTGTATATAATGTTCATGTTTGTCTCGGCCAGTCGGAGAGACCGCGCTCGCTGGGGTCAAGATGCCGCGGCCGTGACCTTCGGCCGGTCACGAGTTGGCTAGAGTGGCGAGTGGCGAGTGAAAGTCGGAGACAACTTATGAATGGACGGGGCCAGGCCCAGGGGTGGATCCCCGCCCACGCAGATCTCGAATATGGCGTAATTGTAATTCACCAGGAAAACGGCGTCCAGGTGCCCACTGAAACGTCTTTTGATTTATGTGTTTTGGCTTTATTTTATTTCTTTTGATTTCTGTGTTTTGGCTTTATTTTATTTTAGTTTTTTTTCGTAATTGTTGTCGTGCGTGAACGCAGGACCGATCCAGTTCCACATTTTCAATTCCATCAAGGGCTTCAGGCATTTAATGGCTAGGGCTGGCACTTACTGGGTCATTCAGGTAAGAAAAAAAAGTTTTGAAATACGTCACAACTTTCACGTGGATAGAGACCAGTTGTGAAACAGCTCTTCAGTTGCATCGTTTTGATCACCCCGAGGTCGGGTAAGGTCATGTGATAGACACTGATACAGCCCATATTGTGATATTTTCAATGGGCCTCAGCCTACAGATTCGGCCTGTAGATTCGGGGAGACCCAGATAGGCGTGGGAGTTTAAAGGGACTGTCCCACCTTTGCATTAGTTCTGAATTGAGATAGCCAAGTTGGCGGCCAGGTTCAGAAACCACTATATATCCTGGTCGCAATATCCTCAGTTTCGTGGTGTTAAAGAAATTCGTTCCCTTCATTTGAAAAGTGGGCCTTAGCTAAGGCCCTATCTCTTAACTATTAACGGCCATTTGATGACGTCATTTGCATTTTGAACGCCTGTCACGCATGTGAAGTTTCACTTGATTTACGAATAAGGTAATCACTATACAGAGACACTTGTTATTGTATGAGCCGCGTCATATTTGAGAGCAAATACCTATATTTGCCGCCAAATTTCCCCCACATTGACATGAAGTAAATCCTTCATTACGTCACAGATCCGATCTAAATGACGTCACGATGAAATATAAAAGTCGCAATATCTCAAAAAGTATACAATGAAAACGCGTAAAAACTTGCAGAATTCGTCACAATATCATGAGTAACATTTCCGAATCCTAAATGGTACTTTTTTGAAGGTGGGATAATCCCTTTAAAGCATAACGTAGCTCTTGTTGTAGGCCGTCCTCAGCGGGAAGCATTTGACTGTATACTTTCAGCTTGTGAAGGTATTTATAGAGGTCCACAGAGGTCATGTGACGGAAGTTTGGACAACACTGTCGGCCCCCGCCGAAGTTAGTTGGTAGCACCGCTGCTCCACGGCGTACATTTCCTACCAGCCCATAGGGTTTACATGTTAAATGGCCTGTTTTCGGCGAGCGATATCTCGGTCAACCTTTGAAGGAATCAATAGTTCTTAGTCTCAAATGATAGATCGATGAATTTTCTTTCGACAATTCCTCTACCATTTTTCACGAAACCCAGCCGATCTTCTAAGGCGTACATACAGGGTAAAGATTTCTCTGCACGCCAGCACCCGCGATCCGCCTCTCCGAGCGTTGGTTCGCGGTCCTCGGTAGCGTAGTCGGTAGCGTATCGGGCTACAGATCAGAGGGTCGTGAGTTCGAATCCTGGGAGCGCTGCGTGATTTTGGCTAGAATTAAATGATGTAGATTCTTGAATGTTTGCATAATCAATTATTAATAGCTAATTGAATGTATCGGCCCACTAATCGGCCCTTAAAACCTGTTATTTAAGAAATTTAAGAAATGATTGTCACGTGCGCGTCACGACTGCCAACCATAAGCGCTACCATATTCTAGATTGAACTAACTTTTTGCTAGTCCCGACCACATATAGTAGGTTTTCTAGTAGTTATACTAGAAATTCCTGCCAAAGTTCGTCCTACCCTTCACTCAATATACCCTGAACACTGTAGCCAGTTCACTAAAGTATAGCCTAAAGTAAAGTATGCGCGAATAAAAGATATCCAACGACTCGTACCGACCTCATGTTACTGATCCAGGGGTTACTTTTCCTTGTCAATGTCACACAGTGACGGGAGTCTGAAGATCATTTGCGGATTATATGCTCTAATGACCCGTGCACTTTTTCGATGTACTCATATTTTCGGGAAACTATTGATCTCGTTGAAGAGTGGCTGTATTTGGAGTCAATAAGGCAGTCTGAAATTGTGAACTTGTTTAGATGCACACCAAAGATGCAATATCAGTATCATACTGAGACCGTGATTTACGTTTGTATTTCTTCTACCCCGAGCCGATACAGCTCACCGTTAGTCCCAACCTAATGACGTTTATTCATGTAGTCCAGCGATAGAAAGCCTGCCTCTGTTAAAGGGACCCTCCCACCTTAACATTAGATTTGAGTTGAGATAGCCAAAATGGGGTCCCTGGCTCACAATTACCGGTTTCGGCACTCACAACATCGAGAAATGCCTTAAATCAGAAATATTGAATTTCAAAATTGCAGCATTTTGATTCAGAGGGGCTAATGCTTAGGAATACCCCTCTGAATGTGTGACGTCAGCGCAGATATCTAACGATTTTTAAATGTTTGACTAAAACGTTTTGTAGCACGCGGAGGTATATGCTATTTGCGCGCAACATCTGCCGCAAACGCCGCACTTCTAAAATAAAGTCGCTAGAAACAGCGGAGATCCCAAAAAAGTAAACAAAAGTAAAAGCCTAATATCTTGAAAACCGGTGAATATTTTTCGATGAAATTTGGTAGATATTCGTTTTCGCTCTTTCTGAACCGAGCGACATCACTTTCATGCCAATTCATTAACTTTTCTGAAGGTGGGAGGGTCCCTTTAACAGGTATACCTTCAAGAAATAACAATCGTTAAATAGGTACGCCGCCAGCGAGCTGCTATACCATGCCGTAATCGCCACGCCGTTTGTGGATTATGGAAAGCTTGTGATGTTGGTACATACATACAATATACATACATACATAGATACATACAATGTACTACTTAAAGGGACCCTCCCACCTTAACATTAGTTTTGAGTTGAGATAGCCAAGTTTGCGGCCAGGCTCAGAAACCACCATTTATCCTGGTCGCAACCCCCGCAGCTTTATGGTGTTCAAGAAATTTCTTCCCTTTACTTGCAGGGTGGGACCAGCGTGGTCCCTATCTCTTAACCATTACGGGAATCTGATGACGTCATCAGGCTTTCGAACGTCCGTTAAATGTTTGACTAAAACGTTTTGTAGCACGCGGTGGTATATGCTGCTTTGCGCGCAACAAATGCCGCACTTTCAAATAAAGTCGCTAGGAACAGCGGAGATCCCAAAAAGTAAACAAAAGTAAAAGTCTAATATCTTGAAAACCGGTGAATATTTTTCGATGAAATTTGGTAGATATTCGTTTTTGCTCTTTCTGAACCGAGCGACATCACTTTCATGCCAATTCATTAACTTTTTTGAAGGTGGGAGGGTCCCTTTAAGTGATCGGAATTATAATGACTTAACTGAAAGACGATTGATTGTGTTGGGGACTCGGCTTTTCTCGCCATGTCTCTTTTGAATCATATTGTAATCGGCTTTGTTCGTATGTTTTCCTTTGGCGGTATTTCACACTCGTCGCTGGCTGCGGTGCATGGCAAGTGCCGGCCGCTGGCCTCCGTGCGGTGTTTGTATTCACTACCGGTTCATTCTGGCTGTGACTGAAGGCGACAGTGGCCTTCAGCCGTCGCTGTCCTCTGTCCATACACGCTCCCCTGCACCCTCAGATAGCGCCCGTATATGTTAGTGGCAATTGTTTGGGACTCACCTAATTGATACAGAGATGGGTGCAATGCAAAAAGGGAGCATATACGAGGTACAGGTCCCGCGGGTTTTGGCGGTAGGTTTTGCTCCTATGAAATTTAGCAAATTTCTGGCTATACCTCTCTTCTTCGTCATAAGCTTTTAAGGGTTCAAGATGCGATCGACTCATTCGTACACATGCCTGCCATGATGCTCTAAAATGGCTTCATCGTACCTATATCGATTAGTTTCTGAGATATAGTGGGAAATATAAAAAGGCAAAACCTGCCGCTTAAACCCGCGAGAGCCGTACCTACGGTATTGGTACACAGAAAAAGCGCAAATAAGACTGCAGTAGGTATGCGTCGCTTTATGAAAGCTAGCTGCACAGTTGCTCATACTCGTGTAATTGATTCGTTTACCCAAGAATCGAGTCACTTGATATGCGAGACGATGCTGTGCAAGCGCGTACGTCTTCTATACAGCGATTCATCGTTATGTTTTGCACGGTAGGTAGGCATTTGTCGGTCATTGTAGTGATGAATATGACCTCCCGAGTGCGTTAGTGCGATCCTGACGGCTCTGACGATCAAATAGAAGTGTTGTTGCTCCAATAAAACCTCATCGGCCAGCCAAAAGGCACGTTTTCTTCTGTTTGGTGCATTGCGAGTATGGGATGTGGTTCTGTGCACTGGTGGATCCAAACGAGGGGATGAGTCGGGGCACTTCTCCCTCCCGTAACGTCCGAAATTGGCGAAAGCTTATCGTGTTCATCGCCTAAGAAAAAGCGCATAAATTCTTATTTACAAGGTGTTGCACAGAAACTTAAGAACGCAAATCAACTAAAATGTTTTTAGGTGTGAGTAGGAGAGTCTTACGGGCAAGCATGCTCTCTTCTGCAGGACGGATTCCCCGGCACTCGGCTGTGTATGGGTACTTATAGCTATGTCGTAACGCTAGTTCAGGTGCAAGTTGCAACTTATTTTTATGAGTTAAAAATCTGGCATTGGCGCTGATCCCTTCTGACCTTTGTAAAATATTTATTATAATTATCTTTTTATCGGAAAAGTTTTCCAAGCGCCTGCAGTATGTGACCTGCAGTGATGTGTCCGACATATTATCACCGCTGCCCGTCAACCAGCCGCGCTCCTTCCTGACCAGTTTCTATAGGTACCGGGCAGGATTCCACCCATACCTCTGACATTTGGTTTTGCCGCTGCGACAGAACTTGTTTTGTTGGAGATAGCCTCGTCAACATAAAAACTCGACACCGTGCTAGTGGTGACCTGACTCAATGACCTGACACTACTCAGCATCGGTGTTTTTTTTTTTCTTCTCAAAATGTCTGACTCCGATCATCCGATGCTGATGAGATCAGAGAACACTCTGCATCAGCACAGATCAGCAGACTGGCTCAGCGGCTAGCGCTGATTGCTGAGGCTGAGTGATAATGACGTCAGCATGCCACCGCGTTCGGCGTTCTTGTGCGGTGGGTCGGTAGGACGGGAACAGAGAGGGCTCCACCGCTTCACTGAAAGCAAATCTGACCGGCTTTTGTTAGTAACAGTAAAGTGGGCCTAGAATCACTACCCTTTTACCAACCATTTACCATCACGGTACTATGCTCTTACTATCCCAGTACCATGTTTACTATCCCAGTACCACGTTCATACTATCCCAATACTATCCCAGTGCAAGGTTTTTACTATCCTAGTACCACGTCTTTACTATCCCAGTGCCACGGTATCACGTCTTTACTATCCCAGTACTACGCTCATACCACCCCAGTACCAGGTTCATACTATCCCAGTACCACGTTCGTACTATCCCAGTACCAAGTTTATACTATCCCAGTACCACGTTTATACTATCCCATTACCACGTTTATACTATCCCATTACCACGTTTATGCTATCCCTATACCACGTTCGTTCTATCCCAGTACCTCGTCTTTACTATCCCAGTACCACGTCCATACTATCCCAGTACCACGTTGCACACACGTTTCAGAAAGGTCCACTGATTTTTATTGGATGACGTTTCACGAAGAGCAATGGTTTTCCGCGGCGCCTGCTGAATCGACGCTGCACAGTGCAGCGAGAACACCTACATACGCGCACGTACACACGCCGCACCAATCGATGTACATCCCACCGGCGCTTGGAAAAAAAAACATCAGAAACATACGAACTACAATCGAGGAACGAGGCACTTCTGAACCCCTGACGCTTAACCCTCGCCCTGGCAGGGGGGGGGGTCGATGCGACCCCCCCCTAAGGTTTTTCGAAGATAGCGTAAAAACGGCGGCGCGCAGCGCCGCCAAATTTGGCACAGCCTATGGGGCAACCTTTTTACATATGACCTGAAAATTTCAGGTCCGGGTGACCTTAGGTCAGGTCACCAGGTCAGAAAAACCGGTACAAGGTCATGGTCAAATTTCAAATTTCTTTTTGCACCTGTCCAACTCACAGTTTTGCACTGATTTCCTTCAAACTTTCAGGATGTGCTAAGTTCACCGAGTTGTATAACATATAGTTCGGGTTTTTTTAGGTCACTGACCTGAGGTCAGTTAGAGGTCATTACGTCGTAATGTTAAGCCTATAGGAAAATACTAAATTCGGAAAATACTGGAGATATCCGCTTCGTTCTATCACTTTTGTGCTTTGAAACCACAGTACTCAACAGCAGGTCACTTGGTGCTTCTTTGTTTGGTGTACTTATCCATGGGTCAGGTCAAATGAGGTCAACTGAGGTCAAATGACGTTTTTGCCAATAACTTGGCACATAATGACGCTAGAGCTTAAAAAATGGTACCATTGTGTTCCTGGTGATCAGCCGAATCGAATGATATGCGATATCATGCAATATGGTGAATTTTAACTTAATTTATTAATTTAAGTTTACTTAAAATTTAAGAAAAACTTTACACTTAAGCAAGCTAAAAAGTATATAATTCGACGCGCCTTGACGTGCTGAGTTCACTGGTGCTTTTCTTTTTGCTCTATCTTAATTAGATCAAAAGTTATAAGCGAAAAACTTTTGACCTGTTTTTAGCGAAATTTTTACATTAGATATGCCTTTTGGACAAATTTCATCACGCATACAAATGTTTTCGGATAAAACATTTTCCTAATTTTTTCAATGATTTTTAGCTCGGAAAAGTCCTATATTATGTAGGTAACTTGTGGCTCTGAATAACTTAGAACAAAATTTTCACTGTGCCTAGGTTTGGTTAGGTCAGGTCAGGCAATTTAATTTAGTTTGGTGACACCCGCCCCACCCATACTACTCACCAGAGCTGGAGCTGCGTGATGAACCTTCAGAACAAAGATGCTCATACACAGTGCACAACAAATTTTAAGTCCAACAACTTCTAAAATATCATATACAGCTTTCAACTCACCGCAAATGACGACTCTTCCCTCTCCCACTGCAACACACAACCGACGCATCCCGTACCCCGCCGCGGCTCGCGCGCGCTCGCTCTGCAACGGTTCGCACAGGTGGTTGTGTGGTGGTAACAAGTTGGCAGCATTGTCACCGTATGGTAGGAACTACCACGCTTGTACGATATTTCTACCACAATTTGTAATAGTTTTTGACATGGTATTTGGATGGTACTTGAACTTTATCATACTGTTACTATTTTTTCAACAACCAATCGTAAAGCACTCGTAGCAGAATGGTGCGCCCTACTAAAACAATGGTAAAAGCGCATTTAGTACCAGGCTTTTACCAATTTTTGAAGCAAATAACGCTGGTAAGCAATTGATATTTATTCAATAATGGTATCGATGTATAGTTTTCAGTGTATTCCACCCGCGGTCGGAGGAACAAACACGACCGCCAGTAACCCGGGCCGTTCACCCACTGACGGGTCCTGAAGAATGTGACCCCGTTTCACCCGCGGCACTCGTGGCACGCAGAACGGCTGAGCGGACGGGTCATGGGGGTATCGGGGTGCGATCAGGTCAATTCCCTCAGACCTCTGAAGACATGTGGCATTACACTCCCATCATGTCATCATCCCTATTATCCATATTGCAGCCGTCTATACCTTGCAGCCCAATCAACCTAACTTATACGGGCCTCTCAGACCCCTTGCTGGACCCCAGTCCCAAATGTCGTGGTCAGTGATGGGCGGTGCAACTGGTGATACCCGATTGGCCGGTTCCTTTTCTTTGTTTATTTGGCAGTATTGTTACGGCGACAGTGGGTCGTATGGTCAGTGGACCTCTTGGTTTCGCGGTGAACGGATCGCCGTGGGTATAGGCTCCGTCGATATGGTGGACTCTTAGTGCTATTAGTACAAGGTGGGAAAATCATAATGTCGCAACCACCATATGTTGAACAGTGAACCTCCTATGTGCGAGAAAGCTTCTTCCGGAAAAGACTCGATTTCCGACTGTTAAAATCACCGCTTACTCACCATATCTTTATTTTCTCTCTCACAGGTCCGATTCTCGTCAAACTGGTGTCGAGATGTTCAACAAACTTCCGAAATCGCAGCCCATCACCATTGAGTTCAATGACCTCTCCTACACGGTGCCAGCGCCCATGCAAAAGGGCAAGGTCAGGAAAGGTGAGTGCCAGATAATCACACGCTACCTGGTGGTTAGGTAATTATCGTTAATCGCCCTTCTTAGTTCTTTTTATTCATACTTAGTTTTTTTTTTAAGAAGTCAATGTAAAACCGTCGTGTGCTTTTTTATTTAAAAAGATGCGAATGCGAATACGAATGAGTACCAAAATACCCGGCTGGTAACGTATACAAAATAAATAAACCGGTTAACAGGGGAGAGGGGGCTCTGCATAGTCGGAGTCTCCTCACGTTTTTCATACAAGATTGCATCCATGTAAACCACTAGAGCTTGCCGGTCTTAGCCTAAACCAGCCGACTGACCTGACCTGACCGATGACCCGTTTCAGATCGTCTGACGATCCTGGACGGCGTGACGGGCGTGTTTCGGCCCGGTCAGCTCACCGCAATCATGGGGCCATCGGGAGCGGGCAAATCAACACTTCTCAACGTGCTCGCTGGCTACAAGTGAGTGGGAGGTCGGTGGGAGACTGGCTATAGAAACATGTGGGAGATAAGCTGAGGATGAGTAATTGAGTATCTTACATATTGCATTGCCATGAAGGGTGAGTTTTGCAAAATCTCTAGCGTGATCTGTGTTTGAAGCGTGATAAAAAAAAACTAGTAGGGTAAGGGCGGGTAAGAGTACGCGGGCGATAAGAGTACGCACCAGCTGTTTCGGTTGCTTAGCAACGCGGGTTTGTCGAGTTCATGAAGTGACATGAAGCCGCCAGTGCGTGCATGTCACCAACGGAACGTGGGCGTTGAGCGGCGACGCTGTTGAGTTTAAGGCGATGAATATTATTTTCGAGCGTTATGATATTATTATGATATGGTAAAATAATTTTGATACTTGGCAGTTGAGATAAGGTACATTTCCGTGATTGTTGTGGGAAACTTGTGAGGTTATCTGGGGAAATACTGTACAGTGCAATATTCTGTTTGCGAAGTTTTACACAACGTTTCGGGGTTGTTTTGTGCGCGAATTGCATGTACGGTAAGAGGACGCACTGTTCAGGAGGGTAAGAGTACGCAGAATTATACATTAAATCGAATATACAGAAATATAGAATTATTAATCTATCGCTCAATGACGTTTGTTTAGTAGGTATATCATCAATGGAGCACTGTGATGCAGATGCGTACCCGAAATTCTTCCAAATACGAGTTATTCTCCTTTTTGATTGTGCATTTTTTTAAGAAACACACGACTTGATTATTTCCTGATTTATAGACTTGAAAGATTTATTTTATGTTTTTCTTTTTGGATACTAGAATTAACTTAAATGCCTTCTGAGTTTGAAGTTAAGCATTTGGACAGTGCAAGCTGCATAGGTGTGTGTTCATATGCTTGCGTACTCCACCCGCCTGGCGTGCGTACTCTTACACACCCCATATGGTAAGAGTACGCAAGTGCAACGGTTCAGAAAATGTCAGTTTTAGACCACTTCCATTTACGCTGAAGGATCGTTGCCCCATGGGTTGATGGCTAATTCAATGAACTTTAATATTCCCTATTTGCGATTTCTTTCCTTCAAATATTAAACAAATGAGAGCAAGAAATCCACTAAGTGCGTACTCTTATACGACTTCACCCTAATCGGGCTGTGTAGTCCGCAGTCATGTCTTTTAACACTTTCCCTTCAAAAGTCTTTACTTTCTCCACGTCTTCCTAAAATATAGAAGTTTTATTGTTCATTCCACCTGTAAAGGAAGCATGACCACAGCTGATTGGGCGTATCCAATATACCTACAACCGGTGCTTGCAATGCATAGTGCATACTGCATAGCCTACACGATTCTGCAGCAGATGTGTGCCACGCGCGGGCCCCATCGCGACCTTGAGGTGCACTCGACGCTATAGCCACCTGGCCACTTTATCTTGCAACACTTTCTGCTGCTACAACGGCCGACAGGGGTATGTGAGGCTCGTGAATCACTCTCCCTTTCCTCTTCGGACACAGAGCTCAGATTACGACACTGAACCGGTAATACGCTTATTGGCCGTTGTCAGCTGTTCCTATATGACTCAATCGATCCGACAATCTTTCAAATTGCTGCAAACCATCGCATGCTATCCGTGCGTTGCCGGTTTTTTGCATATTTCATGCCTATAGCCCGCCTTGTCTCCCCAAAGTTTTCTAATCAAGCGACAGTCTGTAAGCTATAGTGCGAACTGCGAGTACCTACCTATAGTTTGGCGATATGTGGATGTGTGAAACGGTGACCTTTGTGACCGTCTGTGGAGCTATCTTACAGTCACTGGGCACGATATGTGTGGCGATCAGTGGTAGTCCCATGTCGTTAAGTACTGTCTGCCAATGGGACTGGTGCTATCACATTAGATGGATATTTGTCGCCGATTAGCGCAACCTTGAACTTGTCACATGAGCTAATCGGTCGGAGAGGGTGGTGGGAATTCAGAGCGAGGGTGACTTAGGAGAGTGGAGACATTGAGTTGGGAAAGGTTGCTGGCCCTCAAGTGTCTCTTCTAATGCATCCACTACTCACTAGTTCATATGGCATTTTATCGTTTTTTTTTCTGCTCAGTATACCTGACTTGGCCTGTGTATACGTTACGTTTCCTCTATATCTATAATGTATCGTCGGTAATTAGTGCTATCATGTATAGTCTCATGGGATCCACAACAACCCAAAGGTCGCTAATGCTGATATGGTCTCAATGCCAGCCAATGCATTCCTGTTTCCCAAATGTCATACCATACCTATGGACTTCAAAGCCACATATGCGTCGATGGTCATCACGTTTTGATAATATCCGACTGTAGAATGCAGGCAGATATGACCGCAGCTCCGTGAAAGTTATTGCCATGGTATACAGTGAATACCCAACTGTTTTACTCGTGAAGACCGTGACCACGGCCTCATGACTGGTTTTTCGTCAAGGAGCAGGAACCTCACTGCTCCTTGAGAGCCGTGATGCTCCTGAGTCCTGGTTACCAGTCTGTCTTTGTGTTTAATATGAATAGTGGCCGTTCGGTTGCCAGAGTGGAAGACAGGGTCGGGGAGCGTTACCAGTGTCTGTTACGAGGCGGAGTGAAGCTGTCGTAACGGACCCCTCCCCCCCCTCCACCTCCCTGTCGGCTGGCTTAGACGGTTGGGACAGAATGGCTCGATTTCCCTGGCGATTGACAAGAGAAAGTTGACGAGGGTGATTTCACAAGCTAGCTGTGCTAGATGTTAATATAAATCGCATAATCCGATGGAACTGCTGAGTTTCTCTTTTCCTTTGTGATGGTCTTTTCGTGAAACATGTGAGCCTTATGAGTGAACATAGACCTCTACATACCGTCTGTAGTATGTAGAGGTATGTAGAGGTCTATGGAGTGAACATGAAACAGCTAAACCTTGCCTGTCTTTTCGTCCTGACCCGAGTTCAGATTTCTTAGCTCTGACCCCTGACCTGACCTGACCTGACCTCCCTCCTCCGCAGAGTTCGGGACGTCAAGGGCGACATCCTGGTGAACGGCACCGCCAGGAGTCTGCAGACGTTCCGCAAGATCCAGGCGTACATCATGCAGGACGACTTCCTGCTGCCCTACCTCAGTGTCGACGAGGCCATGATGGCAGCGGCCAACCTGAAGCTGGGGAGGGGGTTCAGCCACCAGAGCCGGCGCCAGGTGGTGAGTGGCGGGAGGGGGGGGATAGTACAGGCATAGTACAGTCGTGTACAGGTTGATGGTCCTCTACTCTTTATCCACCGGGTTCCTATGGCTCAGCATTGGCAGCAGCCGCCTGGTACCGGTAGGCTGTGCCGCATGACCCGAAAGTTATGCGGCACAGTCTACCCGCGCCGTTTGACATCGGCTCGGGTCGCCGGGTGGAGCGCTTTGTAGACCAGCTGTTGCGTCAGACCAGCGCGGGGGGAGGGGCTCGTCTCAGTGGTTGGCGTGGGCTGGCGAGTGGTGTGGGGCGTGCGGGTGGACCATGGGGCTGGTCGGGTGTGTGTGGTCACTTCTTGCATTGCACATTTTGCGTCGCTTAACAATTGCATTCCTGTTTTTGATAAGCACAATGCACCTAAGACCCAGCGAATATAATTTACATTACTTGTGCATTGTGCAAAACGTGATTTGGCACGGTATCGAGGCAACCATAGGCAACTATGCATGATATTTAGGCAATATGTTTATGAAAACGGTAGATTGATGCTGAATGTCAATTCGTATGCTAAATGTCGGCACGTGTTAAATGAATGAATGAATCAATCAATCAATCAATCAATCGACATGTATAAAACCGTATAAATGGCTCGCAACCACTAATAGCAATCAAACCATCCCAACTCGGAAAAGCAGCCGGAGCCCTGGTGAGGCTCGAACCGGGACTCCACGCTGTAAATTTTGCCAATGATCCATCATCATTCCACCAAGCTAGAGTGACCGGCACCCGAACCCACAAAAACATTAATTGACTTTGCCGCCGACCTCCCGGCCCCGCCGCCCGCCCGGTCAGACTTTGCCCCGGCCGTAGCCACCATCCGGTGTAGCTCAGCGTAGGAGTGTTAGACTGTCAAACTGACCGGTAGTGAGAGGCCCGGTTCGAAACGCTTCGGATGCTGGATGTTTATTTCTCGGTGGGAGGCTTTGCGACTAGTCCACTTTTCAGAAAGATCATTTGGTGACTGACCTGTTTTCTTCCTTTGCTGCAATTCATGAGGAGACCGTATGCACCCTTACCTGTCCTTCCGCACCCCACTTGAGAGATGGGTGGTTGCCCCCCATGGGTTTTGTGAATATCTCTAAAACGAATTTTTGGAGGGGGGATACGATCGGTTCTATGCGACAAGTGACCACACACGCCCAGCCCCAGGTCCGCTCACTCCCTACCCACATCACCCCCTCCCCACACCCAACTCCAGCCCGCCTCATCCACCGAGCCGAGCCATAACGAGCCTCAGCGCACCGGGGTGCGACCTGTCAGCGATGTTATATAATAACAGTGACAATATATCAAATCCGTGAACTCTATGAATGTCGTCTCGCAGATCCGGCAGTTTGAGCTTCGACGACTGAATGTTGAGGTGTCCAATTATCAGATCTGGTCCAGTGTCGCCGTGGCGGCGCCAGCTCGCGCCGCCTCGATGTCCTCGACGCCTGGACGCGCCCCTGCTCCCGCGGCGCACGCAACCGCCGGCCCCGTCCCCGCCGGTTCGCTGACAGGTCGCGCCCCGGGGCGCTGAGGCTCGTCATGGCTCGGCTCGGTGGATGAGACGGGCTGGAGTGTGGCGTGGGGAGGGGGTGATGTGGGGAGGGAGTGAGCGGACCTGTGGCTGGGCGTGTGTGGTCACTTGTCGCATAGAACCGATCGTATCCCCCTCCAAAAATTCGTTTTAGAGATATTCACAAAACCCATGGGGGGGGGGGGTCAACCAACCATCTCCCAAGTGGGGTGCGGAAGGACAGGTAAGGGTGCATACGGTCTCCTCATGAATTGCAGCAAAGAAAGAAAACAGGTCAGTCACCAAATGATCTTTCTGAAAAGTGGACTAGTCGCAAAGCCTCCCACCGAGAAATAAACATCCAGCATCCGAAGCGTTTCGAACCGGGCCTCTCACTACCGGTCAGTTTGACAGTCTAGCACTCCTACGCTGAGCTACGCCGGATGGTGGCTCTGGCCGGGGCAAAGTCTGGCCGGGCGGGCGGCGGGGCCGGGAGGTCGACGGCAAAGTCAATTAATGTTTTTTGTGAGTTCGGGTGCCGGTCACTCTAGCTTGGTGAAATGATGATGGATCATAGGCAAAATTTACAGCGTGGAGTCCCGGTTCGAGCCTCATCAGGGCTCCGGCTGCTTTTCCGAGTTAGGATGGTTTGATTGCTATAATTGGTTGCGAGCCATTTATACGGTTTTATACATGTCGATTGATTGTTTGATTGATTGATTGATTCGTCCATTCATTTAATACGTGCCGACATTTAGCATACTAATTGACATCCAGCATCAATTTACCGTTTTCATAAACGTATTGCCTAAATATCATGCATAGGCACAAGACCTATGGTTGCCTCGATACCGTGCCAAATCACGTTTTGCACAATGCACAAGTAAAGTAAATTATATTCGCTGGGTCTTAGGTGCATTGTGCTTATCAAAAACAGGAATGCAATTGTTAAGCGACGCAAAATGTGCAATGCAAGAAGTGACCACACACACCCGACCAGCCCCATGGTCCACCCGCACGCCCCACACCACTCGCCAGCCCACGCCAACCACTGAGACGAGCCCCTCCCCCCGCGCTGGTCTGACGCAACAGCTGGTCTACAAAGCGCTCCACCCGGCGACCCGAGCCGATGTCAAACGGCGCGGGTAGACTGTGCCGCTTAACTTTCGGGTCATGCGGCACAGCCTACCGGTACCAGGCGGCTGCTGCCAATGCTGAGCCATAGGAACCCGGTGGATAAAGAGTAGAGGACCATCAACCTGTACACGACTGTACCATCTCGTCAGGCTATGGAATCACTGAATGAGGACTAAGGAACGACAGGCGTCCTTCCGTTCCATCGATGTTCCTTTTACAGACACCGGTTATGAATTGGTATTGCGACATAAAAACAGGTTTACTACTATCAAAAACAGGTTTGCTGTCGGTATTTGCAGTCGTGTAAAGCAGAACGTTTTTAGTAACAAGACGGAAGTTTGTGTTCGATAGCGTCCGTCATTTTTCCTTGAGGGGGCGCGAACTCATGCTATGCCAATGATCGCATGCATTTCGTCCTAATTCCGCCTTGCTAATTCCCCTTGGAATGCTCCCGCTTGCACCGGCGACTCATTATATCCCGTTTAGTATGTGACACACTGACGGGTATTGGCTGGGTTAAGTGCCCAGCTCAGACCGGTTTGTCAGGTGTCGCCTTCACTGACAAGTCAGATGATAAAGGCGTCTTACCATCGCATTCATGGATCTCGAACCGGTTTCCTGAATCTGGAACTGGAATTGGGTGAATTGCGGTCGCCGACTTTTTTTTAGAAACAATGGCCTACTGTGAACGTCTCAAGTTAAGGCGTCTGGGGTCTATACTCTATAAGGCTAGAATAATTTGTGATGTTTTTTCGAAAGCCGTTTAGGCGTTTAGTCAACTTTTCCGCATTTGCCGATGTTTTTTTTTTTCAATATATCATTTATAGCCCGATATTCAAGCTTATATCAGCAGCCAGAAGCCACTTTTACTTCACGCTCACTTTATAACAATATACGAAAAGAAAGTGTTAAAGTAAAATAATTCTGGTAATTCAGGTAGAGTTAGGTATTCTTGAGCTCGCTAGAATGAGAAGTAATTTTGGAATTGGAGACCACAGCTTACATTCGAGGCTTGTTCGGAACGCATCGCTAATGGCGTCTCTGTGACTATTGACCTTGATACGCAATGCTGCTGTAGTTCCTGCCATATCACCCTGTTGTGACTTGTTTTGATTTAGTTGCGGCGATCGGACGAGTACCTCACAAAAATAGGCGTTTGCGGCGAACCCCGATGCGGTGATTGTAGGGGAAGTTGGGGGAACGCCGAAGACTTTTTTCTGACGCCCGTAGCACGCAAGGTAGACAGCATAAGCTATTCTTGTTGGCGTCATTCGAGAGGCCAGTCTTTTGCCTTTCAAACATACCAGGCGCATTTGATGAATTCGCATACCGTTAAGCGCACAAACTAAAAATATCAAAGAAGTGACTTTTTCGGCGTTGCCCCGGACTGCGGGGAAAGCCGAAAATGGGAGAAATGATCTACGGGGAATGCCGACATTGATGTTTTGCCATTTTATCTCAAACTTTATCCAGAATTGATCAAAGCTGACACGCGTTTTAAGAGCTTGAGGACGCGGTGCACACTGGAAGTTATAATTGTGAGATATAATAAGAACATGCCAGGTAAATCATTCCTTATAGGTAACAGGCCGTTGTGTCGGTTGAAAGTGTAATTTGTGTGACTAAAAATACGCGTTGCTATTCTACAGCAGTAAAGTCCACGTAGCGTGCTTTCAACACGTGCGTAATCGCACGTTTTCGGCATTACCCCAGCCTGCCATACTTTCATTTGCAGGCCCATAACTTTTCAACGTGCTGTATACATTTCAAATAGGCAGCACACTTATGCAAAGACATGCTAAAGATTACTTGACCGAATTGGCCAGACAAACGGTAGCATAATGAGTAAGAAATGCAGCTTCAAAGGCGCATGTAGTACAAGGGAAACGTACCTTAAAAACGCTCTTGGCGCCCTCACAGTCGAAGTATTCCGAATGACGACTCGTAACAAACATGCGATAATTGTAGTCACTTAAGCTTCAGAGCATCACTGACAGGTGGCATCCATGTCTTACGGTTTTCGAAATATCTCGAATTTCGGCTTTGCCCCAACTCCGGCATTGCCCCAACTTCCCCTATCAGCGACATTTTGCCACGAGGGAGTTGCCGAGAATGAGCCGGCACTGATCTATTTGTGTGAAATGAAAGGTGAAAGGTCAGTATTTTTGATAATTGTGCCACTGACAATGATGAGCAGTTGGCCGTGCATATTAAACTGATAAACTATGGCTAGAAAACTGATATATCGTAGACATTATGTTCGTTGCGGCAATAGTGGCGCGAGTTCCACGTGCCATTGGGGCTGATATTGCTAATTTAGATTATTTACTTTGTATTTCAGCCTTAGATCTAGCACATTGTGAAAACTGGTACATTTCCTCGTGCATTTGGGCAGTGGCAGGAGTAATAGGTTGTACTGTTGTGTGTCACCAGCTGAGCGTGATCCAGCTGAGGCACCAGACGGGAGCCAGTCGAGTGTGAGCCGACTGGCCACTTGTCTCACCGCTGCGCCAAAACACATCTGAGGCCTCTTGCACCAAACTACCTAGCTAGGTAAAATCGAAAAACCGGTTTCAGAATAAGCTAATCTAATGGTGGTAAATTTGTTTGCAATAGCCCAATACATAATCCTACATGTGCTTGCTAAATTTTGCATGCAAATTGTTACATTTGAGACTTGGACTGGGTATACGATGCAAAATAATCCAAGCATTGGTGCAAGAGGATTTTGGTGCAAGAGGCCTCTGGTCAGTAATTACTATCTTTATTTGTAACAGAACAAATGCCAGTTGTAACTTGTCATTTCTGCTGATTGAATTTATGTGCATCTGGCAAATGTGCATTTGTATCCGCATTTCATAGAATGTGTGAACTGTCCGCATCAATGTCCGCATTTGACCCTTGGTTATGTTGTATGTGTGATTATTGGTTGTTCTTTTGCAGAAAACCACTCTTTGGACACTTTCTGCACACCTATGCTCTGGCTTGCTATCATGTTCCACAATACCATGTCTTTCCTATGTACCTTTTTGTTTCTTTTATTTAGTTGTGCAGGCAAGAGTGCGTTGACAGAGTTTTGGCACGGCAGAGGTGGGCACAGTTTTCAGATGTGTTTCGTCAAGTTGTCAGAAGTTCTCTGAAGTTGCTTGGTCTGATGACGTCAAGTTGAGTTGTACACTACTCAAGTAAGAAACATGTCTGCTCTCAAGAACGAACGTGCCATGAAGAAGGGTGCACTGACACGAACAAGAAGAAGAGCGTTTGTACTGATCGACACTTGTGGTAGCAAAAGAGAGCTGCATGCAGTGTTGAAGGAGCTGGACAATGCTCTGCAAGATGTTCTGGAGAAGAACATGGAATACAAGATGAGCTCTGAAGATGATGATCACCAGAAGAAGTGTGATGAATACGAGCAAGAGGCCACTGAGGAGCACAGGATTGCCCAGGAACGAGTGACAAGTCACCTGCAAGAACGAGCGGGAGAAACTCCATCAGCAACAACTGACAGGTCATCTGCTGCTTCAAAGGCTCGGGTGCAGCATACCACCAGAATGGCAGAAGTTGAGGATAAGGTACGTGAGCTGGAGTTACAGCAGCTGCAACGTCGCCTCGAGAGAGAGGAGGAAGAACAGAAGATGCAGCGAGCAAGACAACTGCAAGAGAAACAAGATGCCCTGCAGGCTGCTCGTCTTAAGACAGAGTTAACCAAGGCAGCTGAAAGTGAGCTGACATGGGACAGGAAAGAAGACTTAAATGAAGAGAATGAGAGACGTCCAGAAGGAAATCAGAAGAGAGATGAAGAACACAGAACAGACCTTCCTGTACCTAATCCCAACCCTGATCCTGCCAGCCAACTGTTCCGACAGAGCCTGCCTCGTCTCAGGCTTCCCACTTTCAGCGGAGCAGTGGAGGAGTTTCCAAGATGGTACTCGATCTTCTCAACACTGGTGGAGCAGCAGAATCTGAGTGCCAATGAGAAGATGGCACATCTGCAGAATGCAGTCACTGGAGCAGCAAGAGCCATCATCGGAGGGATGGTGTGTGATGGAAGCTCCTTTGAAGATGCTCTCCAAGCACTCAAAGAAAGGTATGGCAGAGACATTGATGTAGTTCAGATGACCCTCAAGACTGTGTTTTCGTGTCCAGCTCCCAAGCCGTTCGATGCCAGATCTCTGGAGAGATATTATGGAGCAGTTCATGGTGCTACAACTACATTGAAGAGACTGGGATATGAGGGTGACCTGCAGTCTTGTGAGAACCTGCGTCGTCTCCTGAGCAAACTGCCAGTTGATATGCGGAAAGCGTGGGCTGAACACTCCCTGGGACTGGTGAGACCTACCCTGCTGGAGTTCGACCGGTGGCTCCGTCTGCAGCTGCGCATCCAGCTGAGCTGTGAGGCAGCTGCGCCTGCACCCAGTCAGCAGAAGATGACAGCTGGGATGTTCCTCACCACGAAGACGGCAAGCACCTCAGGTGAGAAGAGATGTGTCCTCTGTGGTGAAAGTCATGGGCTGTGGGCTTGCGAGCAGTTCAAGGCACTGACTGCTGATGAGCGTGCGCGAGTTGTGGCTGAGCACCGACTGTGTTTCAGCTGCCTGCGGCCGGGCCATCGGAGCAGAGATTGCAGAACAGCTCGAGCCTGCGGCACCGATGGTTGCGTGCTTCGACACAGCCGGTATCTGCATGGGAGCAGGAGGATCAGGAGGCTGCAGCCTGGTTCGCCGCCCCCCTCAGGAACGGAGACGACGACCGGCGAGATCACCATAGCGTCGGTCCGACGGGAGGAACAAGATGCGTGTCATGTTCTGTTGCAGGTCGTACCTGTACGTGTCCATGGTCCCGCTGGACAGTACAAGGACACACTGGCGCTTCTCGACCCTGGGGCACAGACGTCGCTCTGCAATGCGTCTGTCCTAGACGAGCTTCAAGTTGAAGGCGAGGTTCAGCCGGTTCGACTGAGCAACGTAGAAGCTGCGGGCCGTGAGAGGCTGTCCAGGCGGACGACTCTTGAACTGTCACCACTGGCAAGCACTGAAGATCCGTCGAAGAGGATTTTAGTGCCAGAGATCTTCTCCGTGGACAGGGTCAACGTAAGAACTCCCACAATCCGAGGCAAGAACGTGTCGAAGTTCAAGCACCTGGAAGGACTGAAGATTCCAGACATCTCCAGTGGCACGGTCGAGGTGCTACTGGGAGCCAACGTGCTCGAAGCGGTACTCCAGCGCGAGGCGCGTGTCGGTGCACCAGGAGAGCCTGTGGCCATCCGAACGGCTTTTGGATGGTCCTTGACTGGTTCACTGACTGGTGTAGTGCCTGAGCATGTTCGGGAGGTTATGTTTGTGTCCACGCTTCGTGGTCAAGAACAGCATGATCTGTCGGACTGGTGGACTACAGAATCCTTCGGGACACGTGCCACCGAGCCCACGCTGACACCCGATGAGAAGAGGGCGATGGACATCCTGGAGAAGACTACTCAACACCGAGGAGACAAGTATGAAGTTGGCCTGCTATGGCGAGACGAAGAGGCCGAGCTCCCGGACAACTACACGATGGCGCACAGCAGGCTCAGGTCTCTGGAGCGCAACCTGGCGAAGAACCCAGAGAGAGCGGAAGCGTACAGAGAAGTGCTTGAGGGCTACGTACAACAAGGGTACGCGCGGAAGCTGACAGCTGAAGAGAGTCGAGTAAAGGAGAAGAAACGTTGGATTCTGCCTCACCACGCCGTGACACACCCAGAGAAGGTGAAGCCGCGCGTCGTGTTTGACGCGGCCGCCCAGTTTCAGGGTACCTCCCTGAACAGCGAGCTGTTGAAAGGTCCTGACCTCTTACAGAACCTGCATGGGGTCCTCTTGCGTTTCAGGCAGGAGCGGTACGCACTGGTGGCAGACGTCTTCCAGATGTTCCACCAGATCCAAGTGCGGACGACGGACCAGCCAGCTCTGTCGTTTCTTTGGCGTGAGATGCAGACGTCGAGGCCACCGGACATCTACCAGATGTTAGTGGTGATCTTCGGCGCGAAGTGTAGTCCGTGCATCGCCAACTACATCCTGCGCCGAACGCTCGTTGAGGACAAAGAAGCAGAGAGACAGGGAGGTCATCCGACGCTGCTCGCCAACTTCTACGTCGACGACTTTCTCCGAGCGGAGGAAACCCCGGAAGCAGCTCTGGCAACGATGGAGAAAGTGACAGCGCTGATGTCTCGCGGAGGATTCCGACTAACGAAGTGGAGATCGAGTCACCCCGAACTTCTGGAGAGCATACCGGAAGATGATCGAGACGCATCACAGAAGCAGCTGGTGTCATGTGAAGGCGGAACACGGAAGGCGCTGGGCTGCGTGTGGTCTCCAGAGGAGGACACGCTAGGAATTCAAGTGCGTGCCGCTGATGTTCCAGCAACGAAGCGAGGTGTAGTGAAGATGGCGGCGTCGATCTTCGATCCCCTCGGTTTCATCTCGCCTGTCATGCTGGAAGCAAAGATTCTGATCCAGAAGTTGTGGATGCTCAAGCTTGACTGGGATGAAGCGTTTTCAGGCTCTGAGCTGGCCATCTGGCGAAGTTGGCTGTTGGAGCTGAGTGAAGCGGAAGCTATCAGAGTTCCAAGATGCCTGAAGACGTCCATCACGAAGGAAGTCAAGAACATGCAGCTACATTTGTTCTCAGATGCGTCCGAGAACGCGTTTGGTGCAGTGGCATACGTCCGGATGACGGACGCCGACGGACACCACACAGTCAGCATGATCATGTCACGGACTCGAGTGGCGCCGCTCAAGCAGCTCTCGATAGTCCGTCTTGAGCTTCAGGCCGCCGTGCTGGCCACGCGACTGGCCAGGACGATTCAAGAGGAGTTGACGTACGTGTTTGATGATGTGCTATTCTGGTCGGACAGCCAGGTCGTCTTGCAGTTCGTGACCAATGAAAGCCGGTTGTTTCAGACGTTTGTGGCCAATAGGGTGGCCGAGATCCGGGACTCTACGTCGCCATATCAATGGAGACACGTGCCCGGGACGCAGAACCCGGCGGATATCTGTTCCAGAGGACGATCGGCATCGCAACTGAAGGATTCGGTCCTGTGGTGGAGCGGACCGGCATTCCTCTGCCAGGATCAAAGTATCTGGCCGCACTTGGAGACGGGAAGCTTGTCTCCTGACGAGCCTGAGCTGAAGAAAGCAAAGAAGACGACGGTGACGCCTGTCGTGGGACTGGTCTGCGGACCAGATGCCAACGATGTACCTCCACTGCTGGTGGATCCAGCACGCTTCTCATCGTGGAACAAGTACCGGCGCGTTGTGACCTGGATCTACCGATTTATCAACAACGTGAGAGAGCCTGACAAGAAGACGCGTGGCTCCCTGACAGCGCAAGAGCTGCTACAGTCAGAACATCGGATCATTCGCCAGGACCAGAAGGCGGTGAAGCTGGCGCCTCAGCCCGGTCTGTCCCTGTACGAGGACGACCAGGGCCTCCTGAGGGTGAGAGGACGCCTGACGAACGCGCCGGCAGAGATGTGCCGTGAGCCGATCGTACTCGATCCAAACAGTGAAGTCACCCGACTGATCGTGACCGATGCGCACGAGCGGTGCATGCATGCTGGTGTAAACCACACACTGAACATCCTGAAGGAGAGGTTCTGGATGCCGAAAGCCAGAGCCACAGTGAAGAAATGGATCTGGCGGTGTGCGCACTGCCGGAACAGACGGGCCACTACCCTGTGCCCCAAGATGGCTGATCTCCCGAGTGAGAGATTCGACATCTCCCGACCGTTCTCGTCGGTGGGCTTGGACTTTCTTGGACCACTCCAGGTCAGAAAGTTCAGAAAAACCGAGAAGCGGTACATTCTCCTGGTGACCTGTTTGGCCACCAGAGCCGTCCACCTCGAGATCGCTGAAGGTTTAGATACCGATTCGTTTCTGATGGCACTGCGTCGCTTTATTGCACGACGGGGAAGACCAGCCAGGATCTGGTCCGACAACGGGACGAATCTCGTAGGTGGTGAGAGGGAACTGAGAGAAGCCATCTCCGAGTGGAACCAACAACAGATCTGTGACGCGCTGACCCAGAAGAATATCCAGTGGCGATTTAATCCCCCGACCGCCAGCCACATGGGCGGTGCGTGGGAGCGTCTTGTGGCTTCAGTGAAGAAGGCTCTCCGGTCCGTTCTGGGCAACCAGGTCGTTTCTGACGACGTCCTGCACACCACCGTCCTGGAAGTGGAGTTCCAGGTTAACTCCAGGCCCCTCACTTATGTCTCTGGCCATGGAGGGGACCCCGAAGCATTAACGCCGAACCATTTCCTGTTGGGGGTTGTGCCGAGCAGTTCTGTCTTCCCTCCGGGAGTCTTCGGAGAAGATGACACGATGTCCAGGAAGCGCTGGAGACAAAGTCAAGCACTGGCCAGTCAAGTATGGCGCAGGTGGCTCAGAGAGTACGTGCCAACCCTCATCTCCAGGAGGAAGTGGAACAGGGAGCAGAGGAACCTCGCTGTGAACGATGTTGTGCTGCTGGCCGCAGATGACACCCCGAGGGGATACTGGCCTCTGGGTGTAGTTGAAGAAGTGTACAAAAGTGGAGACGGTACAGTGCGTTCAGCGCTGGTGCGTACTGCCTCAGGATCATACAAGCGCCCATGTACCAAGATATGTCTCCTGGAGGGAGAGGCGCCTCTGAGCTGAAGGCCAAGAAGAGAACGGCAGTCGCCGATGTCCAGCAGATGAACGCTTTGCTGGAGAATGATGTTTATTCTGTTATTGTACTCGCCATGTTTTTATTTCATTTATTTGTGTTGATTTATTTTTGTCCGTTTTTTCCTATTCTTAACCCTGTGATCGTCCCTCCTCTGGTTGTCCTAGTGTCCTAACGTCGCAGCCATCGACGAGCGGCGGTGGCACCCCGAGGACGGACGACGACACGCCGCTGGGGGTACAGCGGCGTTCCGAGGGACGACACGCCGCTGGGAGTACAGCGGCGCTCTGATGACGACACGTCGCTGGCAGTGCAGCGATTCCAGCGCGTGGACGCAAGATGCCGGCGGCGGGGGGCCCGCCGCTGCTGGCCGCGGCGGACTCAGCGCGCTGGCGGGGACTGACTCGCCGGTGGTCGCGACACACGAGCGCGGCTAGCCGGCAACGAGAGCGGCGGGCGGCGCGCGCCTGAGACATGCGGCTTCGGAGCGGTGGGTGCGCCGCGAGCGACTGCTCCTGGTCCGGCCGTTATTTGGAGCGGCCCGCGTCGTGCTGAGCGGCGTCTGGCAGCCCTGATAGTGATTCGTGTTGTGCGCGGTCCGCGTTGTTCGGCCCGCTCCGGACACTGAGTGTGGTCCGAGGTGACATAAAGACAACGTGCTCGTCTGTGAAGGTGATATTTTGGTTGCGCCGTGATTGTGAGGCGCTCTAAGCGATAGTTACTGCCATCGGTACGCGGGTTTGCTGCGCTGTTCGTACAGTTCGTACGGTGGATGATAGATACTGGTCTCCAGTGATACGTGCCTCAGGAAGTTCAGGGAGTTTTCCTCCGAAAACTGGGGGGAGGATGTTGTGACTTGTTTTGATTTAGTTGCGGCGATCGGACGAGTACCTCACAAAAATAGGCGTTTGCGGCGAACCCCGATGCGGTGATTGTATCAGCGACATTTTGCCACGAGGGAGTTGCCGAGAATGAGCCGGCACTGATCTATTTGTGTGAAATGAAAGGTGAAAGGTCAGTATTTTTGATAATTGTGCCACTGACAATGATGAGCAGTTGGCCGTGCATATTAAACTGATAAACTATGGCTAGAAAACTGATATATCGTAGACATTATGTTCGTTGCGGCAATAGTGGCGCGAGTTCCACGTGCCATTGGGGCTGATATTGCTAATTTAGATTATTTACTTTGTATTTCAGCCTTAGATCTAGCACATTGTGAAAACTGGTACATTTCCTCGTGCATTTGGGCAGTGGCAGGAGTAATAGGTTGTACTGTTGTGTGTCACCAGCTGAGCGTGATCCAGCTGAGGCACCAGACGGGAGCCAGTCGAGTGTGAGCCGACTGGCCACTTGTCTCACCGCTGCGCCAAAACACATCTGGTCAGTAATTACTATCTTTATTTGTAACAGAACAAATGCCAGTTGTAACTTGTCATTTCTGCTGATTGAATTTATGTGCATCTGGCAAATGTGCATTTGTATCCGCATTTCATAGAATGTGTGAACTGTCCGCATCAATGTCCGCATTTGACCCTTGGTTATGTTGTATGTGTGATTATTGGTTGTTCTTTTGCAGAAAACCACTCTTTGGACACTTTCTGCACACCTATGCTCTGGCTTGCTATCATGTTCCACAATACCATGTCTTTCCTATGTACCTTTTTGTTTCTTTTATTTAGTTGTGCAGGCAAGAGTGCGTTGACAGAGTTTTGGCACGGCAGAGGTGGGCACACACCCTCTTATCGCCTTAGAGTGGAGTCGCACTTTGACTACAAGGTGACGACACATAATAGCGCTTAGGCAGCCTGTCAGCGATGGGTAGGTAGATTAGCCTCGGTGGGTCGTGGGCTGCTCTCCGAATCACGTGCTTTATATATCAGTGGGCGATAATGTATCGCAATAAAGTTATCACGAGTCATAAGAGACATAACGTGCCGCTAGGCCAATTAACGTTGTATTGCGTGAACTTGAAGCTATCGGTAAAGCGGGTAAAGCCTGATCCAATCCTCGATAATTGCCAGTACAAATAGATAAATTAGATGTTGATAATTGAGGTGAAAATGCTTGGTAAGTCCATAAACGCAATGCAGTGAGAAATGACCGTCTTAAATTTGTAATGCTTATTCACGTTTTTTTTTTTTCACGTCTACCTGTGGTTGAAGAGCAGGTCTGGGGGACGGCCGGAGTACCTGTATGTGTGAAGACTGTTCGATAAGGTTTCTGTCTATTTCTGCTCCGCCCACCACCGTCTTCCGCCCGGGAGGCCAGACGCGGCGTGTGGCTTCCGCAGCGCTGTTGTCAGGCCGCCCCTCCCCTCCCACTCGGGGGGGGGGGGGGCGACGGATCGATCGGTAGCCACTGCCACCATCCGGCAGAGCCTCTCCTAGTGACCTTGTCCTCCAGCGCGCGAGGTCGGGTCTCGCTGCGTTTTTGCGTGTCGCCCGGACTCCTTTTTTGTGTGTTTTTCGTTTTCGTATCTTACCGCGAATCAAATAAAAGGACTTCAAACAGTCGCAATCGACCGTCGGTCCTTAGGAAAGTTGTAAGAACACCGCCACATGAGTTTTATGGGCGTGGATCTTCACAATCACGTCGTAGCCTTATTAGACAAATACCAGTGTTAGCAATGCTGGTTGCCAAGCTCGCCTGTTGTATCGTCAGGTGGATGACGTTCTGGAGACGCTGGGTCTGTCGTCGTGCCGCAACACCCAGTGTCTGCGGCTCTCCGGTGGTCAGAGGAAGCGACTCTCCATCGCACTGGAGCTGCTCAATAATCCGCCCGTCATGTTCTTCGATGAGCCGACTAGGTGAGTGGTGGGGTGGTGAGCCGGGAATAAGGGATGTGAGAGAGACGTGTCAATGATATCGGGTTACCATGTGAGGTAAGAGAGGACTGGAGTTTACAAATGGATGAGCCTAATATTCATGCCGGAGCCAGGATACATGGGGATGTATCTGTTTTTAGTTCTGTTGTGCTACCATGCAGCGGGAAAAGTGATCTCGCGATTGCTTGGTATCACAAGTATTTTATACCTATTCCAACCTTTGCCTACCTTTAAATTGTCGCTTTACCCGTGACGGAAGAGCTCAAATGGTCGAACCGTTGTTTGAAGTTGGAATTCTTGGTCTGCAACGAGTCTGGCAGGACTGGAATCTGTAGGTCGACCCAGTTCACGGCGTCGCCAGACCGCAGAGGACCCGTCCAGATGGCTCATGATTACACTAACCTCCACGATTTCCCATGTCAGTAACCTCATGTGAATCGTTTGTTTACGGATGGTTTCGTCTGTCCCTACGATGCACGGATTTTTGAAAAGTGCCGCCCGTCCATTTCACTACATCTTCGCACGTTCTTATTCCATCGTTCAGACGAGCAAAGTGTGTCACTCATGCGTATGATTGGTAACCTCAGCTATCATTAGCTGGGGTAATGATTGCCCAACTGTCTGGGAGTTCTGTTATGGGAGTCCGGCTCCAGACTTTCTCGTTCTCCGAAAAGCTCGGCGATCACGCGTAGCTGATATTAGACGACAAACATCGAGGGTGACCTTTGTCCCTGGGTTGTCCGGTGACCGGTTGCGGCTCGGTCTGGTGCCGATGCAAACGACTCATCGCTTTTTCGGCTGCTTTTATTCTTGCAAAAGGTTGCGATCTTCTTGTTCCCGTTAACTGTTTTTTTTTTTTGTATGGTAAGCAACCGAACATTTTAGTAAGAGACATTTTGCGTCTCTATTGTCGCATTATATTTATGGCTTTAACAAACAAGTACGTTATGCACATACACGAAAGTGTTTCTCTAGTATATCCATTGTCTGTCTCTTATCCCGCTCTGACGTCTCGGCCGTCCGTCTTCCCAGCGGCCTGGACTCCAACTCGTGCTCCTCGTGCGTGGCGCTGCTGAAGACGCTGGCCGAGGGTGGCCGGACCATCATCTGCACCATCCACCAGCCGTCCAGCCGGCTGTTCCAGCAGTTCGACCAGCTCTACATCCTGGCCAGGGGCAGCTGCATCTACCGCGGCGCCCGGGCCAATCTGGTGCCGGCGCTGGCCGCAGCCGGACTCCAGTGCCCCGGCTTCCACAACCCGGCAGACTTCGGTACGTGGAGGGAAGAATGGGATCTGGCTGGACCTAAACGGTGGCAAATAATCCTGACCTGACATTTTATCGCGCTGGCCCATAAAAAGTCAAACGTATAAGCAACTAGGACGACGTTGCGTTCACACATTTTGATCATTGTCATTTACTAGTGGTATCTCGGTATCTACATTGCTTGCAAGACATATCAACTTATCCATAACATTTCGTTATCAATTAAACACTGATGACTATTCAGACCCGGATCCTGGCAGCGATGTTTGCGTTATGACGAAATGAGCAGACAGTCGGGACAGTCCAGTGCCTCATTCACACATACAACCACTGACAGCATGTGTCAACCGCTTGGACCGGACTCCGGCTGGGTAAATGTTAGTGTTACGAGCGATTCTGCTATAGCTGACCTAACCGCATCCTGGTATCTCTGATTTCCTTTTATTATTCGCTCTAGTTTCTTTGTTATATCTTGATATATTTTCTCTCCTTCCCTGCCTTTCCATTCCTTTCTGATTTTCTATTGCTCGGTCTCTCTCTCTCTCTCTCTCTCTCTCTCTCTCTCTCTCTCTCTCTCTCTCTCTCTCCTCTCTCTCTCTCTCTCTCTCTCTCTCTCTCTCTCTCTCTCTCTCTCTCTCTCTCTCTCTCTCTCTCTCTCTCTCTCTCTCTCTCTCTCTCTCTCTCTCTTTCTCTTTCTCTTTCTCTTTCTCTTTCTCTTTCTCTTTCTCTTTCTCTTTCTCTTTCTCTTTCTCTTTCTCTTTCTCTTTCTCTTTCTCTTTCTCTTTCTCTTTCTCTTTCTCTTTCTCTTTCTCTTTCTCTTTCTCTTTTCTCTTTCTCTTTCTCTTCTCTTTCTCTTCTCTTTCTCTTTCTCTTTCTCTTTCTCTTTCTCTTTCTCTTTCTCTTTCTCTTTCTCTTTCTCTTTCTCTTTCTCTTTCTCTTTCTCTTTCTCTTTCTCTTTCTCTTTCTCTTTCTCTTTCTCTCTCTCTCTCTCTCTCTCTCTCTCTCTCTCTCTCTCTCTCTCTCTCTCTCTCTCTCTCTCTCTCTCTCTCTCTCTCTCTCTCTCTCTCTCTCTCTCTCTCTCTCTCTCCTCTCTCTCTCTCTCTCTCTCTCTCTCTCTCTCTCTCTCTCTCTCTCTTTCTCTTTCTCTTCTCCCTCTCTCCCTCTCTCTCCCCTCTCTCTCCCTCTCTCTCCCTCTCTCTCCCTCTCTCTCCCTCTCTCTCCCTCTCTCTCCCTCTCTCTCCCTCTCTCTCCCTCTCTCTCCCTCTCTTTCTCTCTTTCTCTCTTTCTCTCTTTCTCTCTTTCTCTCTTTCTCTCTTTCTCTCTTTCTCTCTTTCTCTCTTTCTCTCTTTCTCTCTTTCTCTCTTTCTCTCTTTCTCTCTTTCTCTCTCTCTCTCTCTCTCTCTCTCTCTCTCTCTCTCTCTCTCTCTCTCTCTCTCTCTCTCTCTCTCTCTCTCTCGTCCTTTCTTTTCGCTCCGGGTTTTCTCATATGCTGGCCATTTTAGAGTGGTTTTCAGCAGTGCGTGGGGCTGTCCGCGCTCAGCCAAATCTGGAATGGTTTTCGGGTACGGTCATTGGACTTTGACACTGGGCTATCTCGCGCCGTCGAAGTCTGGTGGTTTGCTGATGCGTTTCAAGTTTTTGCGTCGATCTGTCGGCCAGCGACGACCAGCCTATGTGTCTGTCTGTGCGTATGTGGGGAGGAGTTTTGATCGCATTTGACATCTGTGTGTCATGATGTCAGAGAAACTTACTGAACTTTAAGCATACTAGAGGTACAGGTTTACGCGATAACTGTGTGTTTTGATTTATGTTATGTTACGGGTGCATTGGTTTGGGGGATTGATTTGTATTTTTAGATGTATTATTTGGATAGATTTGGGTAGCCGTTTTAATTAAACTGTAAGGGTTGGTGATAGGTGCGGGGTGTTCAAGTGTTTTGTTGGTTAGGCCCTTTTTTAACTTAACCTTACCCTACCCTACCCTACCCTACCCCTACCCTACCCTACCCCTACACTACCCTACCCTAACCTACCCTACACTACCCTACCCTACCCCTACACTACCCTACCCCTACACTACCCTACCCTAACCTACCCTACCCTACCCTACCCCTACACTACCCTACCCCTAACCTACACTACCCTACCCTACCCTACAATCCCCTACCCTACCCTACCCTACCCTACCTACAATCCCTACCCTACCCTACCCTACCCTACCCTACCCTACCCTACCCTACCCTACCCTACCCCTACACCACCCCAACCCATACACTACCCTACCCTACCCTACCCCTACCCTACCCTACCCTACGCTACCCTACAATCCCCTACCCTATACCCTATCCTACCCTACAATCCCCTACCCTACCCTACCCTACCCTACCTTAACCTTACACTACCCTACCCTACCCTACCCTACCCCTACACTACCCTACCCTACCCTACCCTACTCTGCCCTACCCTACCCTACCCTACCCTACCCTACAATCCCCTACCCTACCCTACCCTACCCTACAATCCCCTACCCTACCCTACCCTACCCTACAATCCCCTACCCTACCCTACCCTACCCTACCCTACACTACCCCTACCCCTACCCTACCCTACCCTACCCTACCCTACCCTACCATACCCTACACTACAAAGTTTCAGCTAAATCGGCCCAGAAACGGCTGAGATATTGCAAAAACAAATTAATTGTATTTACTGGCGAATCCCCTTGGCGAGCGGTGCCTTGTGTCGGCCTTCGTTGTCAAAGGTCAACGACCTCCCGGCTCTGATGCTTTTCACTCAGTTTAGCAAGCGAACAACTGAGCCTAAAGCACGTGCGTTCTGCTCGGCGCCGGTCGCGCCCCCCACCACGTGCACACTGCTGAACCCACACCCTCGAAAATTTAATACGACAAATGAGTGCACGCGCTCGACTTGGCGTGAAAATTTCACCTCCGTAGCCTTTACCGTTCCCGAGCAATGGCCTGTTTTGCCGATTCTAATGCTAACCCTATGGCGCACATGAGCACGCGCCGCGGGCGCACCCCCGGCCGCATCGTGCCCAAAATTTAATACGACCTGTTGAATGACGTGACCCACGAGTCGTCAAAATTTCACCGTCCTGCGTCAATCGACGGCGCCGCAATAAGCCTTTTTGGGAGTAACCCCGACGGCGGCGTGGGCGTGGGCGGCGGCGGACTTTTTAAGATTTATAATAGTAGACTAGAGGTACAGGTTTACGCGATAACTGTATGTTTTGATTTATATTATGTTACGGGTGCATTAGTTTGGGTGATTGACTTGTATTTTAAGATGTATTATTTGGATAGATTTGGGTAGCTGTTTTAAATTAAACTGTAGGGGTTGGTGATAGGTGCGGGGTGTTCAAGTGTTTTGTATGGTAGTACCCTACCCTACCCTACCCTACCCCTACCCTACCCTACCCTACCCTACCCTACCCTACCCTACCCTTCCATACCCTACCCTACCTTTACACTACCCTACCCTACCCTACCCTACCCTACCCTACCCTACCCTACACTTACACTACCCTACCCTACCCTACCCTACCCTTACACTACCCTACCCTACCCTACCCTACCCCTACCCTACAATCCCCTACCATACCCTACCCTACCCTACCCTACAATCCCTTACCCTACCCTACCCTACCCTACCCTACCCTACCCTACCCTACCCTTACACTACCCTACCCTACCCTACCCCACCCTACCCTACCCTACCCTTACCCTACCCTACCCTACCCTACCCTACTCCTACACTACCCTACCCTTCCCTACCCTACCCTACCTTTACACTACCCTACCCTACCCTACCCTACCCTTACACTACCCTACCCTACCCTACCCTACCCTACCCTTACACTACCCTACCCTACCCTACCCTACCCTACCTTACCCCTACCCTACAATCCCCTACCCTACCTACCCTACCCTACAATCCCCTACCCAACCCTACCCTACCCTACCCTACCCCTACCCATACCCTACCCTACCCTACTTTACCCTACCCTACCCTACCCTACTTTACCCTACCCTACCCTACCCTACTTTACCCTACCCTACCCTACCCTACACTGCCACCGACAATCCAAGTTTCAGCTAAATCGGCCCAGAAACGGCTGAGATATTGCAAACACAAATTTATCGTATTTAATGGCGAATCCCCTTGGCGAGGGGTGCCCGGCGCCGGTATTCGTTGTCAAAGGTCAATGACCTTCCGGCTCTGATTATTTCCAGTCAGTTTTTAAGCGAACAACTGAGCCTAAAGCACGTGCCCTCTGCTCGGCGCCGGTCGCGGCCCCATCACGTGCACACCGCTGAACCCACCCCCTCAAGAATTTAATACGACAAATGAGTGCACGCGATCGACTTACAGCGAAAATTTCACCCCCGTAGCCCTTACCGTTCCCGAGCAATAGCCTGTTTTTGCTGATTCTAATGCTAACCCTATGGCGCACATGAGCACGCGCCACGGGCGCACCCCCGGCCGCATCGTGCCCAAAATTTAATACGACCTGTTCATTTACGTGACCCACGAGTCGTGAAAATTTCACCATCCTGCGTCAATCGACGGCGCCGCAATAAGCCTTTTTGGGAGTAACCCCGACGGCGGCGTGGGCGTGGGCGGCGGCGGACTTTTTAAGATTTATAATAGTAGATTGAATGATACCTGTAAAACGTAAATAATGAATATAATAATCTACTATTATAAATCTTAAAAAGTCCGCCGCCGTCGGGGTTACGCAGTCGGCGTTACTCCCAAAAACGGCTATTGCAAAGCCGTCGATTGACGCAGGGGGGTGAAATTTTCACGACTCGTGAGTCACGTAATTCAACAGGTCGTATTAAATTTTGGGCTCGATTCGGCCGGGGGTGCGCCCGTGGCGCGTGCTCATCTGCGCCATAGGGTTAGCATTAGAATCGCGACCGGCGCCGAGCAGAGGGCACGTGCTTTAGGCTCAGTTGTTCGCTTAAAAAACTGAGTGAAAAGCATCAGAGCCGGCAGGTCATTGACCTTTGACAACGAATACCGGCGCCGGGCACCCCTCGCCAAGGGGATTCGCCTTAATACGATAAATTTGTGTTTGCAATATCTCAGCCGTTTCTGGGCCGATTTAGCTGAAACTTGGATTGTCGGTGGCAGTGTAGGGTAGGGTAGGGTAGGGTAAAGTAGGGTAGGGTAGGGTAGGGTAAAGTAGGGTAGGGTAGGGTAGGGTAGGGTAAAGTAGGGTAGGGTAGGGTAGGGTAGGGTAAAGTAGGGAAGGGTAGGGTATGGGTAGGGGTAGGGTAGGGTAGGGTTGGGTAGGGGATTGTAGGGTAGGGTAGGGTAGGGGATTGTAGGGTAGGGGTAGGGTAGGGTAGGGTAGGGTAAGGTAGGGTAGGGTAGGGTAGGGTAGTAGGGTAGGGTAGGGTAGGGACTAGGGTAGGGTAGGGTAGGGTAAGGTAGGTTAGGGTAGGGTAGTAGGGTATGGTAGGGTAGGGTAGAGTTAGGTAGGGTAGAGTTAGGTAGGGTAGGGTAGGGTAGTAGGGTAGGTTAGGGTATGGTAGGGTAGGGTAGGGTAGGGTAGGGTAAGGTAGGGTAGGGTAGGGTAGGGTAGGGTAGGGTAGGGTAGGGTAGGGTAAGGGTAGGGTAGGGTAGGGTAAGGGTAGGGTAGGGTAGGGTAGGGTAGGGTAGGGTAGTAGGGTAGGGTAGGGTAGGGTAGGGTAAGGTAGGTTAGGGTAGGGTAGTAGGGTATGGTAGGGTAGGGTAGGGTAGAGTTAGGTAGGGTAGGGTAGGGTAGGGTAGGGTAGTAGGGTAGGTTAGGGTAGTAGAGTAGGGTAGGGTAGGGTAGGGAAGGGTAGGGTAGGGTAGGGTAGAGTAGGGTAGGGTATGGTAGGGTAGGGTAGGGGTAGGATAGGGTAGGGTAGGGTAGGGTAGGGTAGGGTAGGGTAGGGTTGAATTGAGTAACATCCTAAGTTACAAAGGGCTCGAAAAACTCGCATGCATCACCATCATTCTTTACAGTTCAATTAAAAGCAGTTACCCAGTTCTAAACAAATAATAGGTACCAATAAAAATGCAAGTTTCTACACCCAAACTAATGCATCCGTTGATCATACATATCAAAACATACACTTATCGCGTAAACCTGTACCTCTAGTGAATATTATAAATCCTAAAAAGTCCGCCGCCCACGCCGCCGTCGGGGTTACTCCCTAAAAGGCTTATTAAGGCGCCGTCGATTGACGCACGAGGGTGAAATTTTCACGACTCGTGGGTCACGTCATTCAACAGGTCGTATTAAATTTTGTGCACGATGCGGCCAGGGGTGCGCCCGTGGCGCGTGCTCATGTGCGCCATAGGGTTAGCATTAGAATCGGCAAAAACAGGCCATTGCTCGGGAACGGTGAGGGCTACGGGGGTGAACTTTTCACGCCAAGTCGAGCGCATGCACTCATTTGTCGTATTAAATTTTCGACGGTGTGGGTTCAGCGGTGTGCACGTGGTGGGGCCGCGACCGGCGCCGAGCAGAGGGCACGTGCTTTAGGCTCAGTTGTTCGCTTAAAAACTGAGTCAAAAGCATCAGAGCCGGGAGGTCGTTGACCTTTGACAACGAAGGCCGACACAAGACACCGCTCTCCAAGGGGATTCGCCAGTAAATACCATTAATTTGTTTCTGCAATATCTCAGCCGTTTCTGGGCCGATTTAGCTGAAACTTGGACTGTCGGTGGCAGTGTAGGGTAGGGTAGGGTAGGGTAGGGAAGGGAAGGGTAGGGTAGGGTAGGGTAGGGTAGGGTAGGGTAGGGTAGGGTTGTGTAGGGGTAGGGTAGGGTAGGGGTAGTGTAGTGTAGTGTAGTGTAGTGTAGTGTAGGGTAGGGTAGGGTAGGGTATGGTAGGGTAGGGTAGGGTAGGGTAGGGTAGTGTAGGGGTAGGGGTAGGGTAGGGTAGGGTAGGGTAGGGTAGGGTAGGGTAAGGTTAGGGTAGGGTAGGGTAGTGTAAGGGTAGGGTAGGGTAGGGTAGGGTGGGATAGTGTAGGGGTAGGGTAGGGTATGGTAGGGTAGGGTAGGGTAGGGTAGTGTAGGGGTAGGGTAGGGTAGGGTAGGGTAGTGTAGGGGTAGGGGTAGGGTAGGGTAGGGTAGGGTAGAGTTAGGTAGGGTAGTAGGGTAGGGTAGGGTAGGATAGGATAGTAGGGTAGCGTAGGGTAGTAGGGTAGGGTAGGGTAGGATAGTAGGATAGGGTAGGGTAGTAGGGTAGGGTAGGGTAGGATAGGGTAGGGGTAGGGTAGGGTAGGGGTAGGGTAGGGGTAGGGTTGAGTTCAAAAGGGGCCCAACATACAAAACACTTGAACACCCCGCAACTATCACCATCCCTTACAGTTTTAAAAACAGCTACCCAAATCTACCCAAATAATATAGCTAAAAATACAAGGCAATCACCCAAAACTAATGCACCCGTAACATAACATAAATCAAAACATACAGTTATCGCGTAAACCTGTACCTCTAGTAAAACGTAAATAATGAATATGCAAAGAGATGGTAGGATTCCACCGGGACATCGGTTCTCATTATTTCCTTATTCCATTGACCAGGCTCCTTATTTCAGGCTTAAGTGTTATGTGTATTTTACGTAGTAATTGGCCGTCGCTGTATCAGTGTTTTGCTGAAAACTCCGTTGTTTGCCGCCTGGCAGCGTTTTTTCAACCATTTCCCTTCTGCAGCCTTCACCCACTCATGCCCACTCTGTCGGTCTCCACGCGGTGTCGTGGTACCCACGTCGGCTGGGGCCATGGCCACCGACCACCGACCAACGCCCAATTTAGCCCGCTTCCCCGCCCCTCCCTCCCCTCCCCTCCCCCACGACTAGGTGTTTGGGACAGGTGCTGCGCCGGTCCGCTGAGCGACTTGGGGAGGGGCGGGGAGACCCCAATTGTTCGTCGGTGGCCCGGCGGTGGGGGTAAGGTCACGAACCCAAAGGCTTTAACGTTGTTTGCTCGAGGTCAAGGGCACTAGTGTCGATTTTGAGAAAATTATTGAAGAACTGAAAATTATCTGATTCCTGAACCAGACATATTGTACTGAAGTGAGGGAAGCTTTGATTTGCTGGTTTGACCATTGTAATTTCCTTTGTGATGGGGTTGTCAGCACTTGTTATCATGTATGTAATGTCTTTTTTCAGTTATGGATGCTGTTTATTTAACCATTGGCCGGCGGGTTCGTTTCAGTTATGGATGCTGCTTATTTGACCATTTTGTCGACGGGTCTATTCCAGTGATGGAGGCGGCCAGCGGCGAGTATGGAGAGTGGACGGACCGGCTGGTGGCAGCCAGTAAGAACGGCCGCTGCCTGACCTGGGAGAAGGTCACTGACCCGCCCGAGGTCACCGAGCCGACCCAGGTCGACCAGCACTGCCACACAGTCGGTGAGCTCCGCCGCCTGGGTTCAGCCGTTCGGAGTTCGTTTATAGCAACGCGACTCACCAATCACTAGCACCGCAGCTGCATGGGGTGAATTGTTTGGGGATCGATGTTTAGTCTGGAAATGGCTGTTGTAATGGTTATTCTGCTGCAGGTGGCACGGGGTCAGGCAGCCTGCCATGCCTTGTGAATTGTGATGGCTTGTGATGGCCCTGCGATAGTTTTTCTAGTCAACACTTGCTTTGTGTGGACTTACCCACTTCACATATAAGCACTTCATTGATATCGCTAGCTAGTATGCGCAGTTTGATTGTGCATAACCCCGGCTGTGCTATATTTCATTGCACAATACCTAGGCGTGAGGCCATGATGCGATCTGCTCTCCTAGTTGATTTGCTTACCCTGAAACACGCACACCGTTTTCAGATGAGACCGACTTTGCAGTCGGGAAGATGAACGGCCACGCCACTCCGCCTTCCAAAAACGGCACTCACCAGCTCCAGAACGGCTCAGCACAGGGGAAAAAACGGCGTGCAGCGAAACGGTCACCTACCCTCCGAGTCTCACAGCCCCCGTCCCCCTAACGGCGAGTGTCCACACCCGGCCGAGCCGCCGCCCTACGAACCGGCCGCGGGGGCGGAGCTGAACGGCGCGTCGCTGCCCGCCGCCGGCGCGCCGGTGTCGTCTCAGGACGCTGACGGTGGTGAGGTGGGCTGTACGAGCCTTCTGCTGCGTCACAAACACCCTGCGCCGATGTCTGAGCTGTGTCAGAGGCTGGACGAGGATGTGGGCGGTCAGAGGCTGTACCAGCGGCTGGACTCGGGCAGGGAGCTCTACCGCACGTCCACAGTCACCCAGTTCATGGTGCTGCTGAAGAGGACCTGCCAGTCCATCGTGCGAGATAGGGTGAGTGAGAGCTCTGCAGGGCAGGAGCAGTCCTCGGAACTTCTTCATGAGATTTTGCAACACACGCGGGTTTCGATGTGCATTTGTAAATGCTTATGAATAACTGGAATGAACGTGCCCCCCATATTCTCCAAAGTTTCTTTAACAAGCAGATCTTTGTCCCTGAGATCCCGAAAGAGAGAGACTAGCAAATTACAAACGCACTTTATACCATGATTTATGTTTATTTGCAGATGTTGACCATGGCCCGCCTGGTGTCTCACATATTGTTCGGCGTCCTCATCGGGAGCCTGTACTTCGACATCGGAAACGAAGCCAAAGACGTGTACAACAACGCTGCTCAGCTGTTCTTTGCGCTCATGTTCGTCCTGTTCAGCGCACTCATGCCCACCATTCTTACCTGTGAGTGTTCCATCATCAACATTCTCACTTTGGTGTTTTGTGAGCGTGTAATTATCTCGTATGATATTCCATCATTATTGCCTGTGAGTGTCTCGTGCTCACCGTTACCATCTGTAAATGTTCCCGGCCCAACATTGTTATCACCGGATGTCAAGATCTCTTAATCTCCTTAATCCACAGCATGTTTTGTCTGAGAAGTTTTCATGTCAAGCTTTTGTGTCGTGGAAAAGGGAGAACGCAAGGCCGGGTCAGCCGGATGTACCGGAAAACGAGCAGACATATGACATGCCCATTCTTTGTGTGTTTCAGTTCCCTGTGAAATGGCTGTGTTTAGGAAGGAATACCTGAACTGCTGGTACTCGATGAAGTCGTATTACATCGCCAAAACGCTAGCCGATCTTCCATTCCAGGTATGGATATGATAAAAAGAAAAAGAAAATGGAACTAGTTAGGTTTAAAAGATCGTCCGCTTAGTCGGTTCTCTTCTCTTCATGGCTGGTGTTGGCTTCATGGCTGGGTGAATTTGTTTATGAAATCATTTAATCTTATCTTAATTTTTATGTTTCCCTTGTGTAATTTGCTAGCACCATTCGAATTGCCATGTAATACGAACGACTGCACTACACAGCTCTTGACATGTTGCCGTCTGTTTCCGTTTTCAGATAGTGTTTCCGTTGATATATGATGTCATCGTCTACTACATGACGTCACAGCCGAACGAGCTGGGCCGCTTCCTGATGTTCTGTCTGATGACGGTGCTGACGTCACTGGTGGCTCAGAGCGTCGGCCTGGTCATAGGTGCCTGCTGCGACATCCAGGTACGCAGCCCTCCGGGGGCGTTCGGTTGGAGTCTTTGACTGAGCTGAAATTATAGCGTCTTCTCTCTTGTCAACTTCCAACCTGACAACCCGTATCTCATTCGTTCGCTTCTTTCATGGAAGCAACGTAATTCGTAGAGTGCTTAAATTCGATCCAATGTGCTGCGATATATGAATATTTGCGAATCCAATGAACGTTTTTTCTCTTTACATATATGGAAGTTCCGTTTCTGCTGCTGCTCTCCCCTCCCCCGCACCTCTGCACGGCACCTTTTCCACCATCCGTCAGTTGCCCAACTCGGCCAGACGTCAACCTTACCCTGGCCGGCTGCAGCCACCCTAAACGCAGAGGTCATCGACCCCCGGGGTCTGGCCTTGGCCGCTGGCCAATCCGCTCTCGCCCGTGCCCCACTGCCCCCGGGGAGGGGAGGGAGGGGGGAGGGGGCGAGCCGCACGCGAGTACCGCGGTCGTGTTGGTTTTGATCTAGTACGCGGAAAGGCTGCTCGTTTGGGCGTAGTGAATTCAGCCATGTTGCTTTGAGAGTTTCGGTGTGGTGTTTTCTCGAAACTTATGAATCGTAAGTTTTATTTTGTTTGTTATCCAAACAGATTAAATGATAATATTCCATGAAATAGCAATAATGTTGTCTCATGAAAAATCCAAGTGATCCCAAGTCTCCTGTTCAAAAGTGACGCCCGTGTATCTTTCTCTGTTCGTTTCAGCTGGCGGTGTTCCTTGGACCGGTGACGATGATCCCCATCATCCTGTTCTCTGGCTTCTTTCTCACTCTAAACGCCATTCCCGTCTACCTGTCGTGGATCTCGTACCTCTCCTATGCGCGCTACAGCTTCGAGGGCCTCATGCTGGCCGTCTACGGCAACGGCCGGGGCGACATGCACTGCTCGCAGCCCTACTGCCACTTCAGGAGTCCGGAGAAATTCCTCAAGGTGAGAACCGCGTCGGTCGCTGGGCAGTGGGCATGTTACCTTCAATTGAGGTCGAAAGAGTTTTGCCGAGTTTGAGTTCGGTTTAGTGTGGCCTGAATACGAATTTAGATTTTTCCGGTTGTTTTTAACGACATTAAAGTATGCCGTTAATTGTAGCATAATAACTCGGTCCGGGCTTCAAGACCACGATAGCCTGATTCTGAACTTCGTTTGTCTTGTCTTCAGCTTACCGCTCTTTTGACAGTTTCTGAAATAGCCCTGGTCTCCCTGTCTCGTGCGTCTGAATCTCCCGCTCCCTCCGTCCTGCAGGAGATGGACATGCTGGACTCGTCCTACTGGATGGATGTCGCCGTGCTGGCCGGTATGACGGTCGGACTGCGACTGCTGGGCTACTTCGTCCTTCGCTGGAAGCTGAGAATGGAACGCTGAGGCGGCTCCTTCGAGTTTCACCGTGATGGACCGTGCGTACGTAACTATGGCAAGTCAGTACGGCATCATATTGGTCGACTGTATCTTTGGTTCTTGTCTTGGCCTTCAATTGGGAGGTGAAGAGGTAAGGTTTTCGGTTATTACTGGTGTCAGAAGTGGATTTAGTTGTTTTCTGTGCGTGTTTGTACGCAGCTGGATGTCTCACTGCCGAGAAGAGAGGACGTGGGCAGGGGTGGGGTAGGGCTCTGGAGGCTGGGACCACTTATTACATGGCTACGGAGTAGCCTTACTCGTAACAGGGAATGCGGTAGAACGATATGCTGGCTTTATTGGATGCATGCGGAGCTCCGGATAGTGAACTGCAATGATATCTATTTTGTACTGCCTTAGCGAGAAGAACGTATGGCCGACGCTAGCAGAATGACAAAGTTGAGCATGAATATATCGTAGTTTAGGAATTCATGCAACGAAGAACGTGAAGTGAGAAAACAAACTGTGAATGTTGGTGCTGTATACCGGCAAGATGATGTGCTCAACGGCTGGCCTTGCCTATGGCGTCATGTGCTGTGAAGCGTGACGGTGTTCGCCGGGTAGGTGTGGCTTCACTTGGCAACATTGATCCGCTTGCCGTTACCAGATGGGAGTTTGTGCCATATATCTTGCGAAGTGACTATACCTTGTGGAATTGGATATTTTTATATGGTTGTCCTTTCTCGTACCAGTTGTGGTGTTGCGATATTTGTGAACGTGTTATTATACCTTGCGTCGATTACAACGTATCTAGCGGCATGATCGGGAGTCGTTATCAGAGCGTGCAAATGTTGGGGTGGTTCATGTACCTTCTTCTGATAGGATACTGTGGTCAGCTCAAGGAATTTGTGTGCTAATCAACTTTTGAGAGATGTCCCTTGCAGATTGCGGTAGAATTCCCGAATTTAATCTGCTCACTTTACTCACTAATTCACTATCCAGTTGTCATCTTAGCAATTGTTTTCACTAAAAATTGTACGTTTCATTAAATCAGCAAATAAAATCAAAACACTTCTGTTCACTTTTATGTCTACTGATTTTTTGTCCACCTGTGCCTCGGCTTTTTATTTTGTATTCCTATCCTGTCTATCTTGTATCGTTCACACCGGTTGTCCAGCCGCGAGTTACCGGTCAGTGCCGCTGGCGCCACCTGTGCTCGGCTCCACGGCCGTTTACCGAGGCGGCGACACCGCTGTCCGTCTGTCTCCAGGGTGGTTGTGTCGAGCTGTGTCATCCACACATTCGACTTGGATAGGATAGGTAGTGACGTGCCACACTGCTCTGTTGAAAACTTGTACGGTTGTTCGTTGCCATTGCGGTTGCCTGTTGCCACCAAAATAGGCTGCACCGCCACCAACCCACATCGATTAGATTTACATACCACTGCTGTGATATTGCCACTGTACCAGTAATCCAGTAGTCTAGCCACTGTGCCGGCGATTTCGGTGCTCTAGCCTAAAGATAGTTCAATGTGGCAACTGTTGACGCAAGCCGCCCTTCGTTAGGGACCTGCGGATCGCGCACTGCGTGCGCTTGTTTGGATCCCGTTCACGTTACGGCGATTGTTGATAAATATCAGCTGGTACAACGAGTCCCGGAGTTGTTCTCGGCCCGCCAGTCAGCGCCCTATGTCATTTCCTGTTCGTGCTACGTTGTTGCTGAAAATAATTCCTCGTCAGTCGTGTCGTCGTTGTTGAAGAGAAGGATAATATGCTCATATATTCTAAGCTAGACTGGCGATTGCTGTGTATTTTGAAAGTCTCAATCAGTACGAATACGGGGCTCGGTCGTGCTTCAAAACTGAACCATTATATAAGATGCCCTCAACTTCGTATAAAGAAACAATGTTTTGATAATATACAATGGTTGATGCCCTATATGTTTGTTATCATCGTCAACAACATTTATGTTTGTTATCATTTATGTTTGTTATCATTTATGTTATGTTTTTATGTCAACATTTATGTTTGTTATCATCGTGACTTTAGATACCTTGACACAACCCATCTCTCGGCGTCGGCGATCTCATCTCGTCGCCACCTTAGCGTCGTTTACCTGCAGATTACTGTCAGAAGAGTGAGATAATAATGTGTATGTACGTACTATGGGGTCATTGTTTTTAGAAGTGCGGACGGCTTCTACGACTTCGAATGACTGTGCGATCTCTGAAGGGCGTCACGAAAAAAAATCAATAACCTCGGCACTCAACTGTCTGTAAACCCTGTCACCGGCCGGTGGAACCTGAGGTTATCTCATGGCACCGACCAGAGCTCCCAAACTAATCTACACACTACAGCGCCTTCCTCATGAACAAAAGACGAGGATGTAACGGTAGGCGTACATTGTACAACGCCCGGAGGTATATTTATTAACAGATCGGCAGTTACTGGAGTTGCATATGCCTCAGTCACATACATATGTTGGTCCCTTTGAGAGCAATTCAAGACATTGTGATCTTGATTCGCTTGTTATGACGCGTGATATGTAAAATAAACCGAATACGTTTAGTTTGTTCAGCCCTCGACGACCCTTGCTGAGTCAGTCTCACCCGTTTCGCCCAACAGGCTAGTGCCCTTGCTAGTGCCTAACTTCGTCAGTCACTCGTCGTCACTCAGTCACTCGTCAGGCTCGTCAGTCGTCGGTCGTCACTCGTCACTCGTCTACCTATATGCTGTGTTAGAATTCCCATTGTCACAACTGTAAAAGTTGTTCTGGCAGCAAATGAGCTCATGAATATTGATCTGAGAACAAATTTAAACCTTTTTTCGATACTGGTGATTTCTGTTCTGATGCAAATGAAATAAAAATAGACGTCAATTTACCTCGCACTTGCCACAAGACCAGTGCGAGTCTAAGTAACCATTACGACACCAGTGCTGCCTGACGACTGGCAACACGTCCCAGCTACCGACCCTCACTGGGTGACAGCTCTCTCACTGAACTTTGCGGCACAACAGCAGGCCATCGCCACAGTTGAGCAGGCTGGTGTGCACCCGGCTATCGGAGGCCGCCTTCTCGTTCAGCTGGTGGATGGCGCGTGAGTTGGCGTCCATCTCCGCCTCCGGCTTGAGCACCCCGCCGTGGTAGAGGGCGTTATCGACGGCGATGATGCCCCCGACACGCAGCAGGCGCAGGCACGCCTCGTAGTAAGCCGGATAGCTCTGCTTGTCGGCGTCGATGAAGGCGAAGTCGAATGTGCCGGACTCGCCAGCGGCTATCAACGCCTGTGAAACGGGACGGATAGGTGAGGGAGGATGAGCTTATTTATTTATAATTTAAGATGAAACCGTAGAAGATTTGGGAAAAGGACTGACTGAAACCGTGCTTCTATAAGAGGAGTATTATTGAGCGGGTGATTAAAAGTTCCAGGCTGCTCTCAATTAATAAAGGTTATTCCGTTAGGATATTTCACGAAAACACAAAGACCTGCAATGGACACCTATTACCCACAGTCCACACCGAGCCCACCTCGAGCGTTTCCAGAGCGGGTGCCAGTCGGACGTCGATCTTGTCGGCCACCCCGGCGTCGGCCCAGACCTGGTAGGCGTTGTACTTCTTCAGCCACTCGTCGGTGACGTCGCAGGCGATCACCTTGCCGTCGGCGGGCAGCGCCAGTGCGGCAGACAGCGCGCTGCACGGAGGATGACGACAGTGAAACGCACGTGAGCGTCAGACACAGACGGACGTTCAAATAGAGGAGCACGGCCTGGCCTTGGGTCTGGCTCAGTCTGGCTATCTGTAAGAATCTTGGGTCTGGCACGGTCAATGGCATGTTTGTCTCCAAGGGAAATGTAAACGTCCTGGTCAAGCCCTCAACCAACTGCTAGCTTGTGGCGAATCCTTCAAGGTCATAGACAGTCGTATACCCAAAAGTAACACGGTTACTCCTCTAACACCCGTCACAGACAGTTCAAGGTCACGCGCTACGTCAGCAAGGCCATGCTCGCTTGTACGCGGATGGGCGTATTCACACACATCGAAAGATAAAGTTTGCTGTCCCGGCTACACCTTCTGACCGGTCTACATTTAGCCACATTCAGCTAATACCGCTGTAAGTGCACTGGATGCCTGCAGCCCCCACTGAATCCTCTATCCATGCATCTGTCCTCTGGGTGTCTTCTGTCCACAGTGCTACACCCGCACACCGCTGCACCCCGAACACCTACCTGTAACCAGTGAATACACCGATATCGAGTGTTTTCTTGGCCCCCAGCGTGCCGAGCAGCAGCCGCAGGAAGTTGAGCTCGTCCGAGGCGCCCAGCATCCTGCCCATGGGGTCCTGCAGGCTGTCGGCTCGCAGACGGGCCATGTGCGGGTTCAGTGGCGTCATGTGCTCGAACAGGTACTTTTGCAGCGCGCCCGCCGTCGCGTCGTGCTCCTTGCTGATCTGAGACATGGCTGTGGCGGCTGGAGGGTGGGTTAGCACGCGGAGAGACGGTAGTCGCTGGTGGGATGGGTCGGGGCCTGGTGCCGGCACGCTCCCACACGCCACAGTGAGGGAGTCGGGCCGGCGCGGCGCGGCCAGCGGGCGGGGGGCGTTGCTGGTCGGAGGGGCTGGTCTGCGCAGGCGCACTGGCGTCCTCATGACGTCACACGCAGCCAACGAACAGCGGTCGGCCCTGATCGAAGTTTTGATAAGAGATGTGGCTAGCAGTGGCGGCGGATTCGATTTTGGCGTGGGGGGGGGGGCAAGATCCCAGTCGAGATGATGTCATATGCGGATCCAGAAAGGCGTTTTCGACGCTGTAGGGGACATACCCCCCAAAAAAGTGTCCAAAATCCAAAAACTCATCGGATTTCGATTCCTTACTGATCTTCTGCTGAACAGTATTAAGCAAAAAAAAAAAAATCCTGATAAAAAAGTGTTTCATTAGGAAACATAAGGTACGTTTTGTCTATTTCGGGCGATGCAGGGGCCAGGGGAGGGAGAATAAATGTTTGCTTTAAATGCCCGCTCCCTGGATCCGCCAGTGGACGATGTAACGCTTTTCGTATTGCTGTGTTAGAAAAAAATCGCTAATGGGAAAAGTTGTGCCATAACCCGATCGCATATTAGATGTTGAAGAACGATTCCAAACCTTTTGAAGTAGGCGAGCGCTATTCTTCAATGAGGTAACTCGTTACCATTTCCTCTGTTCATTTTACGTTCGATTTCCGTTTAACCTTCCTTTAAAAAGTATTTCTGAGACAGATATCAAATGAAACTAGCTCACAGCGGGAGGAGACCGCTCAAACATTCAGAGATAGTCGGTCACATCCTATTGGGACAGCGATCCGCCAGAAACACTCCCCAAGGCAGTGGTTCGCCAACTAAGCTCACCGAGACGGGCTGTCTCGATGGGTTTATACAGTTAGCCTACAGCAAGGCTTAACTAAGGCCCAAACGCTCGTCAAGCTGGGAACGAAGGGCTGAGGTGAGGGAGCGCGGCGGTGGGCTGGGGTGAAGGAACGGTGGACTGGAACGAGAATCCAGAAGCTCTTTTTGTTCTTGTTTTGTTTTGTTTTGTTTTGTTTTGTTTTGTTTTGTTTTGTTTTATGTTGTTTTGTTGGGTCTGACCTTTCGGTCTGACGAGACCATTTCCGGGCCGGAAGGATGATAGGAATTAGGGGGAGACATTGGTCTGGGTTGACACCCTGGAGAGTCGCCGGGGCTGAGCCCGCCCGAAAGGACAGGCCGATCAGCCCCCCAAGCACTCTCTGCACCCGGCTACGGGGTGCGCTCCGTCGAGAGCAGTGGTGCCGCTCCAAGGGAGCAGCCCGCATGAGGTAAAGGTGCCTGTCCAGCCCGGAGTAGGGGTTGCGGCGTGGAGGAGAAGGATTTATGTGTCCTGAGGATGGAAGCGATGGAACGGAGCTGCCAGAAACTCTTGGTAGGGCGTTTCTTTATTAGGGCTTTAGGGTGCGCTGACTGCGGTAAGGTCCAAATTATCACACTAAATTTTGTCACATCTACCGGTTCAGGCACTCGAGAATCAGCGGCCAGTGATATCTGCAAAGACGAAGCATTTCCAACCCAGCTTCAGCCTGGTGTCAGGGTGCCTCAGGTGGCTTTAATTACAGCTGCACATACCAAACGACCTCAGTGCAGCCAGTCCATGTGGCCGAAACCATTCGGAACAGACTTCAACAAAAAGTGAGACAAGGTTAGTGCTATCGTTAAGTGCCATTATAGACTTGGTCCCCGTTGGCTTGACCCACTGGAAGGTGGTAGTTATCGGACGCTGTGGGGCATACTCATTTTTCCAAAATGCCTCAGATTTTGCTTTCTTGTTCATAGGCGGCGGAACGGGGAGGGCACCGGGGCACCGTGCCCCCCTTTGATTTTGGCATTTTTACGTTGGCCCTATGGACGTTGCATGGAAAGAATGGGACCAAAAGTCGGCAGTGCCCCCCCCCCCCTCCCCTTAATTGAAGGTGTTCCGCCGCTACTGTTCGTGTTTGATGCTCTTTATTCTATAGTCAGCCTTTAGACAGAAGGGGGGGGGGGCCACTGGCACTAATGATCAGTGCCTTACCCTCAAAAGTTTCCAACATAAATTTTTACTTTTTTAATAGTGAAAACTGAAATAAAGCGGATACTGAACTGTGAGCATCCAGTTTTTACACTGGCCCCACACAAGCCTCCGAATGCCCAAAGCAGATCTCTGATGACTGGCCTTTGGGTGTCATACCATACCGTGCATTGGTCAATGTCGTCAATGTGTACGACCTCGGCCTTTACCATTTTATGCGCTGGAAACTGTTGCGCTCGAAAAAATCAGGGGAGTGGCTTATTATGAGCGCTCATCAGTCCTAACTACCCGCAAGCGAATGGCTAGCCCTTCTGTCTCCGCTCGCTTGCGATTTGGCATTTATGTAGGTACAAAATAGAGGCAAATGACCACTGAAGGTATGAGTTGCGTCTCTTGCACACATCTACATATAAATAGAATCTGAAAAGACAAAAAAAAATAAATATATAAAGCGGAAATAGTTAGCATTTACACATATTCAAAAGGCACCGTTGGACAAACTGTAGGAGCGCATAGCTATTAGCTGCAATATCAGATTATGGAAATTTTCCTCATGTTTAGGGCACAAATTATGGAGGGGCAAGAATATACGTTTGCCCCTCCTCCAAAAGTTTCTTAGGGAACGATGCCTCCTCTGCCACCCCGTATCCGTCGCCCCTGTAAACGGTCACTGAAGGCCTGGGTTGCCGCTGCGTCACGTTGACGCTTATAATGCCTCCAAAACTAGGTTGAAGAGAGGAAAACTTCAATTGAACGTAAACGCTTGCCATTTAAGAAAGGCAACGTATGATAAAGTATATGGGCATCTGGTTATATCTTCAGATGATCGAACGGAATAATCAGGTATATGGTTTCTTGTCTAAGCTTTGTCGCAAATTATGGGGGGGCAAAAAGATATGTTTGCCCCCCCACGAGTTTGCCAGGGGGGCAGCTCCCCCCCCCCCCCTGCCCCCCCCCGAATCCGCCGCCCCTGGTGGCTAGTCACCGTCTGGTCATCACAGGGCGATTGAGATGTCCCGTACACGCCGTGTTAGTTATTGACATTTGTCCGGCCGTCACTATCCTCAGACGAAAATCAATAAACCCGTCCATTAGGATGACAATAAAGGATTGATCTGACAACACTGCACTATAAGACAACGTTTCATCACCAAAGTTTCCAAAATTGTTCATAATTAATCCACATAAGCAACAGAAATATCAAAGATGTTTCTGCTCACCCATGCGTTTACAGAAGTTATATTATTGTCGCTAGATGGCACCAGTGGTATACGCCTGAAGTTATACTGTGCCGCACGGCATATACGTATTGCGGGCGCTCGCTAAATCGAGCGTCAGAAAGTATTCAAAAGACTGAAAGTAACGAGGAAATTGTAACATGCATGCATACGAGCGTAATACAGGCAAAACCCTGTCAGTAACCACACTATCTACAGCCACTACCGTCGAAGTATCGATCACTTTATATTTTAGGTTGCTTTATGAAACGATGGCCATTTACGACCTTACTCCTGCAGTCGTGGACTTGGATGACAATAGTCGTGTTGGCTCGTCAAAAAGGTGTCATTATGTAACGTCCAACTCTGCACAGTGCACATGGCCCAGCTATAACCTAACAGAAACGTGTACGACTGTACGCTGTGCAGTCCAGACAGCAACAAACGAGCATGTGTGCGTCGCGTCCGAATGACTCAGCAAGGTCAAACCTCTCGGTCCCCTCAGCGGCCAGTGGCGGACTCAGGACAATAAAGTTGGGGGTTAATCGCACATCTCTACTAGGCTTTGAAAATACGATAATTCATTGATCCTGTGATGACGACTCATCATAGATTACCTACCTTCAATGATGATTTATAGAATGAAGACTGATAATTCATTCAACGCGACCCACCGTCAACCTCTATCTGCCATCTAGTCATTTCTGGTTGTTGTTGTTGTTGTTTTCCCCGGAGTCCACCGGTGGTACATATATTTAATCATCAACGAAAGAAGCACTTGAGATCAGCATCGGGAGATTGAGTAAAACGTGAATCAATAAATGGCGCTGCATAGGGCTAAAGGTGAGGATAGGATTTGTTTAACAGTTAGAATTGATTAGAAGAGTGCAGAAGATTAGTGGTTAGAAGGTTGGGAGGCAGCACCATTTATGATACGATCACAGAAACACAGGACTACAGAGGCCACCATCCATCTCGAACTGGGTTTGTCGCAGTTCTCCACCGCAGTCAAGACTGGAAGGCCCGGGAAGGGCGGCGCACATCAACAAAGCGACGAAAGCGACATCTATAGGCTGGTATCAGTCAACCGCAGAGCGTGAGGGAGGGTTACACGTGTGCAGAATCAGCACTACCTGTCAGGCCAATTCGCACACAGAGTAGCGCAGCCGCGGGACCGCTCCATCAGCGATAACAGCGCCACCTACAAAATCCGGAGTCACATGTTGGACCAGCTCGCAGACTGAGCGCCAGGTCGCGAGCAGGTTTAGCTCAGCTGCGACAACGGCGTCCGCCGCAGACAGGTTCAGCGCCATCTGTTGTTCCGACTTGTAGCTAGAAGTTGCCTTCAGTCACTGCAGCACAAACAGGTTGACACTGGAGAACAGAGCCGACCTGCAGATAAAGTTGCCTTCAGTCGCTGCAGACCTCCCGGTGTCACAGGCAAACAGTCCTTAGCCATGAGTGAGAGGCCTTAATCAGGGCGGTCAACACTAGACTGACATGGCGCACAGTCTCTGACGAACAGTGCAGCCCGCTGAGGTAGATACTATCGGAAATATCACTCCTTCCGCTGCACGGGCGAAGCATCTCCGCGGGTGGCCCGGAGACCAGGCGACCAGTCAGTCGTAGCGGAACTATTATTGAGTGCACCAACACCAGTGACGTCGGTTTTCGCACGAAACTCTAGATGAAGCGCATCCAGACAGGTGATGCCGTGAACTGGTGCGGCTGGCCGCCGCCAGCGCAGCATACCGCATGGTCTTCAGACCTCCCCACTCTCCCACCGAACCGACCGTTGGCCCACGATCCTGTTCCCTCCTCCGACCTCTGCAGAGCATTTGCCGCTCCCCGGCCTCTACCCCCCGCAGCCGAAACCACCGCCAGAGAGCGGATCTGGACAGGGCCAGCGTGCGTACAAAATGGTCCCGAGGCCATTCGCTGGTCGGCGAGGGTAGCACCACGCCTCTTCATATCTGGAGTTTGCTTGCAGCACATGCGTTGGTAATCCAGTGGTCCAGGGTGACCAGACTGCAGGGCGGCAGTACAGACTGCAGGGCGGCAGTACAGACTGCAGCCGCAGTATCCGGCTGAATCCAGCGAGCCCAGGAGCGGTCCACCGAAGAAGCTGAAGAGGTCTTCAGAAGAGACGGACATCGTCAGCATATATCCTGGGTGTCCCGACAATGCCGCCTCGCCGTCTCCAGCAGCCGAGCGATGTCAGGCCACAGGGCCACTGGGCCACTGAGCTCATCGTGGGACCATCGAGTCAGAGCGCGGAGCTGGTGCTGGCTGGAAGGAAGGAGAATAGGAGATAAAGAGCAGAAAGCAACGGGGAGCAGAGAGTGAAGTAATCAATCAAATGGCCACTGAACAGCAGAATGTGATCATTTTGAGAAGATATCAAACGGCAGAAGAAGCATACCGTGGAGCGTTCTACTGAATTTAAAACAATGGATAGATTACATACATAGTGTGGTTAGGTTCCCAAATGCTTCTGAATGATCAGCATCATGAGGTGTGGTAAAGGTTACATGGTTTCCCGTGGCCACACCTCATGACGCGTTGAATTTCATTGATCAAATATAGACTGGTGACGAGAACGAATAAGTAAGTGAACTAGAAAAAAACAACAAAAAATAAAACAACAACAAAAAGAAAAGAAATACCTAATACTGATAATGGTCGTATACTAGTCCCTAAAAACACTCCATAAAGTAGCATACATATATTTCACTTTCTCCCAATATAGATGTGTCCCATAGTGCGTCGCCACGAGCAGGCACCAATGGACGCGGAGCCCGCGCCGGCCCGATCAAAACAAATGGAATAACGGCCGCGCCACCACACCACACTCCCACTCTTCTGCCGAGCACCTCACACACGCGCTACGTAACACATATTGCACAGCTTGACGAACACACAGGGAGCTGATACCGCCCTAGGGACCGGGACCTTTGGACGTATGTATGGCTGGATCCCTCCCGGCGCACAGCGAACGGCGCAGGGAAAGGGCGGCGGAGCAGCCTGCTGGGAAAGCGTGGGCCACAGCTAGTGTCACTACCGGCCCTGACTAGTGTCCAACAGCTGCCCCGCGAAAGGTAGGACCAAACTTCTAGCAAAACGCCAGGGTTAGTTGGGCACCGAGCGAGTTAAACCACACGGTAGTCACCCCGAATCACTCATGGATCACCAGATTTCGCCATTTCCGCGATCAGAGATAATGCATAGCTTTCAGCGGTCCTTCGGCTATCACAACCAATAGCCTGAGGCAACGGCGGCACGTAACAGCCAAGGCGCGGGCCTTCGATGGAGCGGGGTTACCAGGGAACGACCAGCGAGGAACACACGCCAGAAGAGCGATCATCCATCGGCGCACAGGACTGCGGTTGTGACCATCGGTACATTTTTGACTGGATAATACTCAATGGAATCAAGGCAACATGGTACGAAACCTACGTGCATAACTAATTCGTAAGCTACTCCCTGGTTTGGAGGTGGTTTAAAGGCTGCTAAGGGGAAGCTAGAATATGGTCCCATAAAACGAGAAAAAAAAAACGATGATAACTAGATGAGCGGGGAAAGGCGGAGTCACAAAATCACGATGGTTAAAAGCATTGCCACCGAGGCTAATTGCAACGCAAAAATCAGCTAACGAGTGCATCGGAATCAAGACAACATCATAAGGCAATTCGGCAAACTGTGGCTACCCAGGCTAGATAATATCGGAAATATAGCACGGTCAAACATCTGCAGTCTGCACCAATATGTCATGGCATAACGAATTTAAAACGCGGCACGACACAAACTGTCAGTAACTTGGTGCGACTGCTGGCTCATCCTGCGGAGTTTCATGTCCGTAAACACACACAAATAATAACACAAGGGCTAACTCCCCGGGGCCGTCTTTTGGTTCCTGTCTTTAGCACGCATCACACACGCCAGCCGACGCACGCCTCAAGACGTTCAACCCAACAGGGAATGAGTGTACCGTTTTAGTACACTTTTGTTCAAAACTGCAAAGGCTGCTGTTCAACGCACTTTTCCGTCGTCAGTGGTTACTTTCTGACGCTAGGTAGGTCGGCAACTTTTCACCTAACAATGGTCCTGTTTAGCCTGCCTAGTACTTACTACGTACCCATGGGAACATTTTGCTGGGATGTCACTAGGAATACGAGAATAGATTTTCCAGCTGCAGAAAAAGCCGTACAAACTCCTGTCCCGAATCCAACGGGAGGTCCGGCGTTCCGTGACTTTCAATCACAGACTAGGCTCAGCGTCAAAGGACCAACCACGGTAGAGCAGACCCGGGCAGAGGTCAACCACGAGACAGTCGGAAATAAGGAGCACCAACCGGGGCTGTCTGACCCCGACCAGCGACCAATCACAGCGCGCGTCACCGGAGCGGACCAATCACGGTGTAGCTAATCACAGCGGCAGACAGCGAGCAGCCAATCACAGGGCGGGAGGCTCCGGCGCTGACCAATCAGGAGGCGGCGGCTGGTTTGTCGGGCGACCAGAGCTGCTCGGCGAACGGCCGGTCGGGCACAAACTGCAGCGTCTTCAGGTGCTCCTGGTAGAACAGCAGCTCGGACGTCACCAGACTGGAAACGGAGCACAAGTGAGGTCATTAGAAGCGCGTAACTCCGTCAACGAGGCTCATCAACAAGACTGAATAAATCGTGATCCCGACTAACCCGTTCCAGTTGTCCCTGTAAGTCCCTAAGCAGTTCAGCCTCACTATGAGAGCTTAGTAAAATCTTGCTTATCAGTCACATGACCAACTGCAGCTCTCTAATGCCTTCAAGGGCTCTACAAACCTCTGCAAGGCTCTACAAGGCTCTCTACAGTCTACATCCACCCTTTGTCTGTCTTAGCGAACAACCTTACCATTCCCCACAAAGTAACTACTTTCCATCACCATCCATACCTTCCCTCCCTTCACCAACTTACCCATGCTGCGGTCCGCCGTCACTCTTAATATTCAGCTTCACCACGCGTCTGCGCAGACTCTCCACGAAGGCGGCGTTCATACGTGTGAAGAGCCGGTGGCTGTGCTCGGCAGTCAGCACCCCGGATGTGGCCTCGTGCAGTTTACTGACCGCTCGGCACACCGCTCTGTAACAGGTGAACACGAATCCAAAGCGTGAAAAGAAATTTTATGTGGAAATTGCCATGGGTGTTGACCTGACAGACCACAGTAGACGATGCGCTTGTGCGAAATGTCATCGTGCTTTGTAACCCTGCAAATTCAAGTAAAATAGCCCTAAGTTGTCATGCTTGTATTGGAAGATTCACGTGATAAAGGAAGTGGAGAACGTAAAACGTAAATTCAATAAAAAGCTACGTGATTGTAATTCTAGCTATGCATACCCCTTAAATATTTATGAAAGGCAAGTGGAGGTCCTACCAGACACATACCTGAACTGCTGGCTGGGCACGGGCGGCCGCGCCTCCCACTTGTTGAGCTGGGCGTCACAGGCGCTGCTGATGATGAGCACCAGTTTGGAGTCGATCTCTGACAGGTGCGCGCGGTAGTCGAGCTCCACCTGATCCAGGTGCCGCAGCTGACTGCGACTCCGGTCCGGTACCAGCGCCTGAGAGCGGGCACAGGCGGGCGTTGGCAGAAGCAGGTATAACGATAAATCCAGGCTACACGGCCGAACCTTGCCGCTATACAGACCGCTGAGGGTGATCACTGAATGGGATTGCATGCAGGGAGATCATGAACAAGCGTCGGCAAGTAGAGTTACGAAAATACTGTAAAGAGGTCGAACGGGCGATCCAACAAGAGACACACCACAACCCAGATCAATCACACAATCCCCAATCCAGATAGGTAACAGCCAGATCACGCAAGGCAGCATCTCCGTATCACCAGCACGACAGCGAAGTAGCACGACCTCGTGTCTTCCCGCATTACGTCCCCGTCCCGGTTGGTCCACCTAGCCACTCCGGCCCCGCGTCTGACCTGGAAGTGGGTCCGTATGATCGGTATGAAGTGCAGCACGAGCTGTACGCCCCGCGCCGCCAGCGACAGGTTTCGACTGGTGATGGTCTTCAGGCCGACCAGCTGAATGGCCCCGGCACCGACCACCAGCTGGCAGCAGCGCGAGTTGAAGAAACGCAACAGGTCCACCTGATAAGAAAGACGGCAAGGAGTTAGAGAAAGGAAGTTCTGGTGATACATAAACGGCGGGAGACTTGAGGGAGAGCAGTAGGTAATATTGCCATAAAAACAGCCCATTTTTAGTGCGTGCTTAGTTTACAATCAGTATTCACGATAAAACTATAGATATAAATTTCTCAAGAAGTAAGGGCTTTAGTAAGACGGCGATTTGCGTACAAGGTGGCAATAACACAAAAGTCCCACCCCACCAGCTCATGACTGTGAGTACCCTCTGTACTCTGCCGCCCACCCCTCTCACCATACGTCCCTCTGCCCTCCCACCCCCTCTCACCAGTCGACTGAGCAGCTCCCCGCTGGCCGCTCCCAGGTGGCGCGCGCAGTCACAGTACTCCAGCAGCATCTTGACCAACAGCAGGACGGTACCGACGACGACAAACTGCTGCTCGCCGAGCCGCAGCGCGTCGGCTGGCCGCCGCTCCGGCGACTCGGGACACGAGACGCGCGACGGCAGGCCGGCGCAGCCTGGGGGAGGGGACGTGTCAAAAAGGGGAGAGAGATACGGAGCCAGGGCGCATTAGGGAAACGGAGGGGGAACGGATACAAAGAGGGAGCAGGCATATGTCCGACATAGCCCTTGAACGGGATTGACCGGACGACGTAGAATCTTCGTCGTCCAAGAGACTCCGAGCGCGGGGTTATATTTTGGGGTAACGTTGTAAGTGAGACAAGTTAGGGCTCAGCCTCGATTCCCTTCCTCCCGTCCTCCCCTAACACCCACCCCACTCCCAGTCCGTCATCACCTCCCGGCTCCCCGCCCCCGTCCCTCCACAGCCTTTCATCCGTCCCCGTTTCTCCACATCTGCCGACTGACCGGTGTTGGTGACGTGGTCGGCGATGGTCTGAAACTCTGCCGGCACATCGGCCTGGCGCCACCGCTCCGACTCAAGCAACAGGTTCAGCTTGGTCTTCCGCTCCGAGTGGAAACGCTGCACAAACTGACTCGCCTGGGAGTGGGCGGAGGGACGCTCAGTTACAGCCGAGCGGTATCGGGTACAAAGCGGCCAGACACATCTTGTCTCGACATCGGTAACTGAAGGCGGCACTAGCACAACTAAATCACAGCGCCTCACCATGTCCTCCAGGCTCCAGGAGCCGAACTCCGCCATACATCACACAATTTTTTGAATAAATCAACTATAATTAAGTGAATGCAACGAATAGACAAGATAAACACGTACCAATTACATGGACATAATTATCTAAGTGATCACCAAATCTCGATCTCCACAATCCTCACGGTAACACAGCAGGGAACCTCACCTGTCCCTGCAGTGCTAGGTGCAGTGCGCTGCTCTGCCTCCCACACAGCTGTTCACAGTCGGCCACAAAACTCTGCACCAGCGCGGCCAGCGCCAGGAACTCGGTCGACTCCAGGCCGCTCTCTTTCACCCGCGCCTGACGGGGAGAGGGGTAGGGAGAAGGCGAACGTGAATTATTAGGAAACGCGGTGGTAGTGGAATGTGGACTGGTTCTTATCCCAGCCGGAATAACGACCATAAAAAAGAAAAAGAACAATGCTGCAATAATCATCCTACAACACCTGACCCAGTACATCACAGTCCCCAGTCAGCAGACCCTTTACGAATTCTCCTGAGGTAATCAGAATCACCTAAGAACTGGTCAACATCAGCCTCCCCGAGGCCCCTGAACTGCGGACTCTAGGGCCGCACTCACCAGCAGCAGTTTGCCGCAGCGCTCGTGAGCGTAGTCACAGACGGTGGGCAGCATTGCCGAGAGGGCGTCCCGCAGCCGCCCGCCCTCCTCTGGAGTCAGCATGGCGACATCCACCTCCTCTGCGCTGCTGTGGAGAGAGGGAGGGGAGGAGGAGAGTCAGAGTAGGTGACAGGGGTACAGTGGCGACATTCACCCTCCTCTGCACCGCTGTGGTAGGGAGGGACCCGGTCAGGACAGGCCAGTCATGGCGGACAAGGTTTTAATATCACTCGCTACATTTTACCGCTAATATCACTGCTACACATTACTCGCACATCACAACAACGTTGCAATTATAATTGTTGTCACTTTTAAAGTTACACATTTTATCACCCATGCACCTCCGACCCTCCGTTCCCAACTCAGTCCACACCACTTTCCCACCTTCCTCTACCCCCCCCCCCCTCTAAAACAGCCACTCACATGGAGAGGCGCACGCCGGCCGCGCCGCCCTGCGCCTTGGCGGCTCCGTTGGTGAGCAGCGATCGGGGCCGGCCCAGCGCCGCGTCCAGAACGTCCTCCATGACGTCACTCACCGCCTGAAACAAATAGAGGGGTGACGTCAGACTAAAATGACGTCACTCACCGCCTGAAACACATTTACAGAGGGTGACGTCAGAGACTATCAGCTGCACGTCGACGTCATGTCAATACTATTGCATACAAGATCAAGGATCTGTGCAGTAGATTTCATCCATTGCTTTACTCGCTCCGTCTTTGTTTTGAAACCGCGCACTAGCCCTCCGCACCAATATTGACGGTGCATCTCCTCTACATTATCAAAACTCAGCTTGTCCCTGTCCCACACCCTCCCAAGTCTCAACTGACCCTGACCCTGTCCGACACTCTCTGAACTGACCTTGACCCTGGCCAGCAGCCGCCGCAGGTTGTCGCAGAGCTGTCGGAGCAGTTTGAGCCAGGCGACCGGTGAGAGGGCGGCTACCTGGTCGTGCAGACCGCCCCAGTCCGACCCTCCCCCGCCGCCACCGCCGCCGCCGCCCTCGGCCGGGTCGGGCTCCTCCAGTTCGGCGGCCGCCAGCGCCTCAATCACAGTCTGCGAGAAAAAGAGAGACGGGCAAGTCAGTCTCATACTAGTACACTTACACCGAGAAAGACATCTGTAAAAAATATAAGCAAGAGTTACGATTTCGGGGGACTTCAGCCACCTTCTCAAACTAGATGACCACAATCCCACTCGATGATGATAGACATTATTGTCGGAATTGGTAGCTGAGTCAAGTACACATTTCACCTAGAACCTTGGTAGGTGCGCTCTTCCAAGTCACATTGTCGGATCGATCCATCGAGCGTAGGTATCCGTTCGCGTAGCGACACCGCGCACTACATCTGCAATCTTAATCGAGCTGATCGCGGTATCTTGTAAGGTGCAATCGGCGCCCCATGACCGGCCTCTCGCCGCCCTCCACCCAACCATCCCGCCACATCTCACCTGTTTGACCACTGCCCTAACGGCGGTACACGCCTCCTCCTTGTACAGTTCGACCATGTGGCAGTTCTTCAGCCGCAGCATCCCGAACAGGATAGCCACCAGCTGCTCCTGTGGAGGGGGGGGGGGTGAGAGGAGCTTCAGGCGGTCAGGATGACACGGGATCGCGGAGGGAAGGGTGGGTGAAAAGGAAAGGATGCCAACTTTATGTCAGACAGGAAGCTGGGCCAGTTAGAAGACATGCATACGAATTAAAAAAATTGTTGTGTGTCGGACAGTCAAAGTAAGCGAAAAAAAAATAAACGAAGAGCAATATAACTGACAAATGTAATGCATAAGTCACAGAACAATGGCAGTTTTATGGCAGAGGAAGGCATCTAATTATGAGAAGGAAATGGCAGAAAAACACCACGCAAGCGGAAAGTTAACGAAATAAGGACCATAGCTATCATTAAACGAACTGTGTCCCCTTTAAGCATCAGTTGTTCGGTGGTGTTAGCTCATGGATTCGTTAGTGCAACAATGCACCTGATGAAACCCAGACAATAATCGAACCACAAATAGCCACCAGCCAGGTGATATAAGCCGGATATATGTAAACTTCGGTGTACTTGAACCGATTTGTGAAAACTGAAAACATGCTCGCGCGAAACAAATTTCAAAGCCTAGATTGTTCGCCATATTGTGGCTAACGGTTTCAAATATAACAGTGTGTTAAGTGCCCAGACTTACCACATGACATGACAACAGGTAAAAAAAAAAAGTTGTGCGGTGCATTGTCATGATATACTGAGGTGCCATAACAAATCCCGGCGGAGAGCCAACGAAGCATGCGAGGCGGGTCAGCCCCCGACCCGCGAGTCCCTGCAGGTTGTACGTGCCTCCACGTGCCCCTCTACTACTGGCCACCTTTGGACTACTCACGCGGATCTTGCGTCCAACCACCTGAACGGAGGCGGTAAGTGAATAAGAGGCATTCAGCAACGATTGCCATGGTAACCAGTGTACCAATAACCGTCCACATAGCTGAACAGGAACTTAACTACCCCGTGTCCCACGAACTAAAAAAAAAACTTGCATCTGTAGACCAACATTAGAAGAATGCATGAAAGCGGAAGACATGTACGAAAATTAAATCGTAACAAACACCCAAATCAATCCCCACTTCAACAGCTGGTTTTCACCGCCACATACATTCTAGCTTACACGACTGGATGCGAGTAAGGACGAGGTCGACAGCTCGGACAATTTGATCAGAGGTCAAAACCACAGCCCAGAGCCACCCACAAGGTCAGACTAGGTCGTGACCTTACCTCCTCGGCGGCCAGCTGCTGGTCCAGAGGTCGGTTCAGGTCAGAGGTCACGTGACGCACAAAGTCGGCCGATACCATCTTGTCGATCAGCCGCTCCATCTCCGTCAGCTGACTACTCAGGTGTCTGGTGAGGGAAACGGGTCAACAGTCAGGTGGACATTGTTGTCACAAGCTCCAGTTCATCCACGTCTTCAAAATGACCTATTAAACTCGCAAGTACATGTGTTGATCAATTTGTTACTGAATCCTAGTTCAAACCATCCACCCCCATCTACCTTCTTCCATACATCAGCTGGTGGCTTGCTTGAACACCAGACCCCTCTAAACAGCCCTCCCCCCCCACACACCCTATACCACCCCGCGGCTCACTTGAACGCCTGCAGACCGGCCAGCTCCTGTGCCAGCACCTCCTGCGAGGTGGCGATCAGGTCGAGCGCTCCGACAAACTCTGAGGTGGTGAGAAGCAGCTGGATGGTCGGCTGCGTCTGGTGCACGGTGGCCATCAGGCGCAGCTTCTGCAGCGTTCGCTCGCAGTTGTGGCGCCGCTGTCGGCCGCGGATCACACGCAGGGAGGACTGCACGTCGTGTTCCAGGGTGTACTGCATACGCTGTCTGTGGGACACGGCGCGGGGCGGATTACGGATGGTCAGCTGCAGATCAGCAGGAAGCGTCAACACTGACCGTGTCAACAGGGGACGAGCAGAGCATCGGGAAAATTGAGCGTGATGGTCTCGTCGGTAGCTGGACAAGGCTAGAGTGGTCACTAAATATCTGAGTAAAAACGATGGGAACGCTCGCTACGAACGAAAGCACCGACAAAACATGATAGCGCGCTCCTTTCCCATTAGATTGTTGCACGTGACAGCAGCGACCGCAGCGTGTACGACATATCACGTCCATCACTGGTGACAAGTCGACACAAAAACTGGTCTTTTGCCTTCCCGCATTCGTTAGCGTTAGAAAAAGAACAACACAGTACGTCAGAAATACGCAATATGCATCGCACAATACAAGGCCTGCTCACGACAGCCACAGCTGCAAATGCTCTAAAATGGACGTATAACTAGCTCTGTTGCCGTTTCGCACCCATCAATCGCCGATTAGCTAGTCACCTGAGCGTCCTGACTGCGACGGAAGCCTTCTTGAGCTGCTCCATGAGCGAGTCGTGCGAGGACATGGCGTCGAAGAATGCCTCCGACTTATCGGCTATCTGGCGAGCGATCTGCACTTCCACCAGGTCCAAGTAATGGGTCAGCTGACGGAGGTACAGTGGCCGGGTCAGAGGTGGGTTGAGTTGGAAACACAGTCGTGGGGTCAGAGGTCAAACGGTTCAGCGTGGGTGCAGTAACTGGATGGAATACCTATGTCCGCGTCAAACACGATGAACAATCACGATGTAGCACAAAACGCACCCATAATCAAACGTCCTATCATTTGAAGATAATAGCTCAATAGCCATTAGCAACAAACTATGCACGACTCCCCAGTAACGATGACCAAGACACAAATCAGCCAACAATCATAACGGTGAACGGACATAGATAACGCTATATCTACCTTTTCCTGGAGGACTTTGTCGGCGCTGGGCCGGCGCGGCTGGCCGGCCGCCCGGTCGGCCGGGGCCGCCGGCTGTGACTCGGCGGAGGGACAGATGACCGGGAACATGTCCGGTCGTGACAGGTCAAAGGTCGGGTCAAAGAACAGCCGTGGCACGCTGCTGATGCCGTCCTCCTCTGCGGGGCGGTCCCAAACAGCGCCGGTTAGAGGGAGTCAGACGTGCGACGCTGAGTTTGTGGAAGACAGCGGAGCGTGTTGGGGAGCAGAAAATTAGCATTGGAGTATGGAAGCTCTGAATGTGAACCACAATTTTGCAACATCGATAAAACGCTTGCGCACTCAACGAAATACGTACGTCGCGAACATAACAAGATGGTTGCCAAAAAAGAAGTACAGATTATGACATGCTAAAACAGTATCAAAAGAGTATGTGTGTGTACTCTACCTGGTTCTACGATGCGAGAGAGCTTGGAAACACGAGCTAACGAATCCTTCTTAAAGCTGTTAGACTTCTTTAAATGCTTCTTATATCGCTGAAACAAGAACAAAATCGATGTTAAGATCCACGCTCTTTAACTCAGCAGTTAGCACCACATGCCGATTAGACGAAAAACCCAAACAATGAAGGATGAACTTCTCACTTTCAATTTCGACTTATAGGATTGATCCTCACATTTCTTTCGGCAATCAACGTAAGTTCCTATAAAATCACGGCTCTGACTGGGAGTCCTTGTAGCATGGCCTTACTCCTGCAGTTTAGAAAAAGCGGTGATAAGCCAGGTATCTGAACCCCTGGGCTGATTCTGCTTTAGGAATACGCAACAAGAAACCACAAGACGTATCCATTATTCAATAGTACGCCCAAAATAACTGCCGACAGTTATCGATCTTTTTTAGTTCGGTAGAAAATTACGTCAACAAAGGTCGCCGAAGACCGAAACGACACGGTGTCGATAAAACTACAACATAGCAGCGCCTCACTAACCCTGCGTTCGATGTTTCTCGGACGACGAAGATTCTACGTCGTCCGGCCAATCACGTTCAAGGTTAGCGGGGGCTCGGCTGCGGTTATCGAACGTGATTGGTCGAACGATGTAGAATCTTCGTCGTCCGGTAGACATCGAACACGGGGTAAGTATGTTCTCACTTTACACGTCCACCCCTCACTAATCTCTGAACAAATTACACCCCACGCCGCCATCCCGCCGTCCGGTCCGCCGCTGCCCACCTTAGTTGTGTCGCGGAGGTAGCCCTGGAAGTCGGCTAACGAGATATCCGGTAACCGGGGCGACGGCGCCACCTCCCTCTCCACGAAACCGTCGCCCCACGTCTTCGTGAAAAAGTCGCGCTGTGGAGGGGAAAAAAGTTAACTTCACGTAGGTTTCCGGGACCCAGTGATATTCATGAGCTCTGAACCATTTGGCTTGTGACTTGAACCAGCGTACGAAATCCACCAAGAGCTGTGAAAGCTGCACACTGCGCAGGGTACCTAGTTACTAAATACCTCGGCGACCGTAAATGGCACGATCTAATTACAACGAACAGCAGCCTCCATTTAGTACGTCAGTAACGTCCAGCAGTTCGAGTCGGATGCTGGTTCAAATCAATAGCCACCGCGACGAACCAGGCCACAGTTAGCCCGGCGGCTGGGTTTTGTCAAAGTCACATGATACCACCCGACAAACTCAAACTACCGTCAAAATAAACACGACGCTTGAGATTACCAGCCGCCACATGAGCTCCAGAATTCCGTCAGTCCTCGATGCCGTGTTCTATCTCAATCAATCATGACCCAAATAGCTCCCGACATCATGTGCATTGTGCGTTGTTCAACTATAGACGTACAGAGGTCTATGGTTTAACATATCCTTCCCCACCTCTAATGCTACCACTGGCATCCAATCACCCCTCCCCCAAAACAATGTGCTGTTGACTACAGTCGGTAGTCGACCCTCCATCGCCGCGAAGTTTCACGGCTTAGCGCAAGGCCCTCTAACCGCTTAGTGTTACCCTCTAAGCCGTCCATTAGGGCACATCATTACTTCGAACCGTTTATCTGTGGTCAGATAATCGACGTTCAAACATAAATACCTGTCAACAATGTTTTAGTGTAACAGACATCAACAGTTCGACGGACTCCCGGCATCTCGACGAGTCCGTAATCCGCGACCGGCCCACTGGCCCTGGGACGGATCAGCGAGCCCCGCGACAGCTGACCCGCCTCCCCCCGGACGGGTCGTTGAACCGCGACGTGCGCGATGTACTGGCCGCCAACGGGACCGATCAGCGAGTCCTGCGACTGACTTGCGACTCGCGGGCGTTTCCGTAATTCTGAACCAACCTACCGTCCCCGGGCGTTTCCGCAAGCCCCATGACTGACCTGCCGTCCCCGGGACGGGTCGTTGAGGACGGCCGGCAGGTTTTGCGCGGCGCTGTGCAGACTCCATCGTCCTCCGTCCCCGGTCGACGGCTGGGAGGACTGGGAGGACACAGATGACGCCCTGCTGCCGGCGTCTGGAAAAACAGCGGGCACAGCTCATCAGATGAGGATAAAGCACAATAATATGAATGGAATCGTACTGAAAATCGACACTGAGTAAAATATGCTCTGGTGCCTTACAAGCAAAATTCAATAGGCAAGAATTATAACTGCATTATACTGGATTTGTATTACAAAAGCATTTCAAAACCTTTTTCCTACACCAGCACCATTGAATACAAGCATCTTGAACGCAAAGACTCGTGCAGAGCACATACCTCTGCGAATGGCGCCATGGGGGTAGACATGGTGCTTCAGCACATGGTGCTCGTAGTCAGTGTCACTGACTCCCTCCAGCGGCAGTGAGGAACACACCCTGTTGTAGCCATAGTGACACACGAAGGAGCCGCCCTCCTGGCGACAGTGCTTCTGGCGCAGGTGTCTGTGGGGAGGCAATACAGAGAGATAGGTGGAAAAAGATGAGTCAGAGAAGTCAGATGGGTCAGATCTTCATCTGGATAAGACAACTCTATATCAACACTCCTCTTCAAACTACAAAGGTTAGGCATACAAACTTCAACAAACTATAAGCAATTTGAGTAGGTAAGTAATCAATAGGTGTGCAACATCACTTCATCTCACCTGACAAAGTCATCAGGAGTCTGGAACTTTTCTTTTGAACAGAGCAGACAGTTTCTCCAAGGGTGTTCTGGATTATCCATGTTTACATTGGCCTGAAATAAGGAAATGTTGTTGTTGTTGGGTTATGGTGCTTAACCCTAGAACGCCTAGGGGGGGGGGGGGGGTTGTATCAACCCCCCCCCCCCCTGAGGTTTTTTCGAAGTGCACGCTAAACGGCTTGTCGTAGCGGGCTGAAATTTTCAATACCCTCTGGGGCAACCTTTGCGCATCTTTTCCCGAAAAAATTGATCGGGTCATGTCAGGTCACGGAGTTATGACGTCATAAGAGGTACAGCCTCCGGCCGACAGTTACCAAACGTGTGCGCCGAATCCCTAGGTTTTCTGCCGGTGATACCCACATTGTTTGATGGATCATGATGAAACTTCCCATGCATGTTGGGGCAAGCATTGGCTATCGTGTGGTGCAAGAAAATTGACCGGGTCAGGTCAGGTCACGGAGCTATGACGTCACAAGAGGAACAGCGTCCGGTACTATTTTTGAAAAGCGCCCGAACCACTATTTTGCTAATTCTTGTCACCTCAATGGGAATATGCAGCAATATTAGCTTCTATAGGGAGCAAATGGACCTCCCAAATCCAAAAATACAATCAGATTTCAAAAATTTAAATTTTGATTTTTCGAATTTCTGCCGCCGACTGTGACCTTGCCGACTTCCGGCGCTCCCAACGCGCCATTTTTAGAGCTAGGGAAACGAAATACATACCAAACGATAGAGAATTGATCAAGGAACACGATAGTGAAGGTTTCAAGTCGATATCTCCCACCGTTTTGCCGCAA